TCAGGGCAGTGCTTATGTGCTTGTCTGACCCTCCATCCCAAGCCGCTGGGAGAGCGACCCAACACGCACAGAGACTCTGGATTGCCACGAGCGCCTCGCATTGGCCAGCAGAAAGCCCTTGCCTCGCCGGGTCCCATCCTAGAGTGCCCACCGACCCGACCGGTGACGCTGGATCCAGCCTACTGGGCCTCTAGGACATTGCGTTTGGTGTGTTTCCGTCTGTCAGTGTGTGTATAGTGCGCGTCTTGCTCTGGTTTCTGCGTCCTTCTCCGTCCGTGTCAAATTCCTGGTTCTGGTTCGCGGTCTGGTCTCCGGGGGCGTGGCTCGTTTGCTTTCTCATGGTCCCGTAGCCCATTTGATCCAGGCACCCTTTCAGCCCTCTTCTCTCTCTTCAGGCTGGGCCACTTCTGCAAATCATTCTTGGGGCTTTCCACTTCTCTCTCAAAATAGACCGACCTTGGCTCCCTAAAACAGAGGCGCTCTACCCATTTCTCCCTCTCACTCTTCCCCAATAGCACCTTCTTCGGTCTTCTGCTTGACGGGGCCGTCTGCATCTGCGCAAAATTTCAACTAGCTTTGGACCACCGCCTTCGCAACTCACACGCTTCTCTGAAATTATATCTCTGCTTTCTAGCCTCACTCCTCTCTACCTTTTGCTCCAAAGAGACCTTTATTATATACACTAGGCGATCATGAGTAACCAGGGGTCGGGTGGCGATCACTACGGCTCGAGCGAGGACTCGACGTCAGACTATGCCGAAAGCATTGACTTTTCTGAATTCACATCTATCGACACCGCTCAGATGGTTCACAGATATAGAAATGGGAGGTATGTCGAGCATGGGCTCCTGGTCCACTGCCGCCAACTGTGGATGACAAATGAAGAATGAAAGAAAAGAGCTGAGTCAAGTTGATCAAAGCTAACCAGTAGCTAGACGGTATCAGGGATGGTTTGAGGGACGATATGGGCTACCAAACGACGACACAGAACAGGCCCGTGAGCACCTCAAGCACAGGCTCTACTCGGATTATCTCCTCGGCGGCGAATACTTTATTTCACCCATCGGCAGCAACCCCCAGAAGATTGTCGATTTAGGCACCGGCGCTGGATTCTGGCCTGTTGACGGTTCGTGAAGAACTATTTGAATGTCACAGTCATCAGCTAACATTATTCCAAGTGGCCGAGAAATACCCCAGTGCTCGTGTCATTGGGAGCGACATTTCCGCTATTCAACCTCCTTGGTCTCCGCCAAATGTTGAGTTTCGGGTAGAGGACCTCGACGACGAAAACCATCCCTGGACGAGGATTTACGCCGGTGCCGACCTCATCCATACTAGATCAGTCATACAAACAGTTCGCAACCCCGAACTATTTCTCCAAAGAGCTCTAGAGTAAGATAATGATAACATGCCTACCTTTACCTCACTGTGCGAGCGAGCAAGAGAGTATTCTGACTAAGCGCTATAGGAACTTGAAACCGGGCGGGTGGCTTGAGTGCCACGATCTGTTTATACCCCTGACTTACGAAGACGGCACTGTGGCAACAGATCACCCTGTTCAGCGCCTGTATGATCTCGTAAACGACGGGCCGTTTGCAAGACGATATGGCTGGCAACTTTATCTTCCCCCTAGATTACCACAACTGCTCCGGGATATGGGCTTCATCAACATTCAAGAACAGCATACCCCGATTCCCCTTGGCAGATGGTCGCGGCGCTCAAGAGACAGGGAAATGGGCATGTTCAACCAGGATAACCTCATCGACTGGACCGCGGCCTTGCTCATCAGGCACGAGGACCTGGGAATTTCAGAAGAAGAAGCACGACAGCTGTGTCAAGAGACTCTTATGGCCATGGATAACACCAAAATCCATGCTCTCCTCGACTGGGGGATTGTCTGGGCGCAGAAGCCTCTATGATCGCATTGACACTTGTATAGATGTGATGCGAACTGGAGTTGATTGTCATTTTACGTATGGTGACAGAACAAAAGAAACAAGAGAAAGAAAGAAAGAACTAGAAGGATGGCTTTGATGAGAGACAACGTGCCTTGTGGTATAAAACATTCGAATACCTTTCTCCACCATCCGCCTCATGATATAACGGCTTCTTCTTGGAAAGAACCCTTTGAAGATTCACTACGCTATATGACGACGCCACCCACTTCTGGGTTTTCTTCTCTTACTCTTTCTCTATCTCTCTCTTTTTGGGACATTGGTGTTGGCATTTTGTGTTAAACCAACGCGCCTTGTCTAGGAGTTGAATGCTGGAAAACTATAGGACAGCAGAAGATGGTGTGAAAGGGACCACAGCTCTTGGAAATGCTCCTTTATCCTTGCTCGTTCGCTGCACATTATCTCTCCTTTCCTTTGGGCAACATAATCTCTCGCTTCTCCTCTGCTACTATTACGTACCATTTCATCTGCCGCGTACAACGCAGCCAGGAAAATATTCACATCATGGAAACGGAAAAAACAAAACAAAAATAAATCAAAAACATACTGGGGGTTAACGGGAGGAACCACGGCGCTGGCTCGGTACTTGGAAAGCGGACAAAGGTCGGCAAGGCTTGCATCATCATCCTGTTTTGGCAATTTCCTTGCGTAGTATCTAAAGAAGGGCAGATATCCACTTTTTCTTTTTCTTTTTCTTTTACTTTTTTTTTTTGCATGAAGCGCCTTTTTTTCCCATCTTCTTTCATATCTGGATCTTGAACAACGAAAACGGGCATTTGTTGGAGGTTAATGGGTCGGGTTCTTTCTCTATCTCTTTTTTTTTTTCCCCTCTGATTTATTAGCACAAGGAAACATGTCATGGTCTCCGAGTGCGGGTTTATGGGCGGATTTGCTTGGGATCAGGTTATATGAAGAGAGGTGGGATGGTTGGGTTGAGATGTGGCTGCTTGGGAACGAATCGTTATTGCTTCCCAAGCTTGGGCCGCCACAGAGGCAGATTCCGATAGCCGTTGGTTGCCAGGAAGAGAGCGGGTGACCAGGAATGTCGACAGTTACGGTGTAGATGCAGCCAAATGGCTCGTCACGACAGAGTGATCTGGCGGACAAGCCAACCCTGGCTTCGACACCCCGGTCTGGCGACTTGTCCTATCCTGTCTCTTTTATCCACTTTTCATACTCTGTTCTGAACACCGCTGCCTTTGATCCGCTTCTTTTTGCAGCAACGAGGCGGCGGTCTTGTCTAATGACAATGTCATCAACTTGCGTTTGTAAGCCTCCCATCCCCACGCAGCCGAACCTCGTGATTCTTTCTCTGTTTTCTTTACTTGCGCTTCTCTGTCATATGCACGCGGATCGGATATAGCGCACGTCCCTTGCTCCATCTGCACTTTTGGACATTCATTATGCATTAGCCGCCCATCAAAGGGGCGCCTCCAGATCAAGGTCAGGCGAGGATCTCGTATGCCCACCACACGATTCGGTACTGCATGTACACATGAGATGGCCGTGGCTAATAGGAAGGTGGCGGCGATGACATGACCCGATCGGTTCTGCGGCGGCGATGCGGTACCAGCACCCTTGTCAAATGTATTGTACAGTATTTTGTTGCTTTTGTTCTTGTCCTGTATTACTACTAAGAGTAACGCTTCGTACTACTAGTATTAGCATTCACTCTACGGCAACTAATTTTTGTACTCTCTTCTTCTCTCCTTCATCTCTACCTTGTCTATATGCTCCTACTACTTGACAAGGAGTTTTGGGGTGTGTTGAATTTGAGTCTTTTGAGTGAGTGACGTGACAGCAGGTATGTGTGACATATGCGGAGTGAAGCTGATATCACTCTGATATTTTACCTGGCAAGGTGTGGTTAAAAACATCACATATACATGCTACATAACCTGTAGATCCTCACTTATTCATCTGCTGGTCTAAAAAGGGCAAAAAGTTGCAATCGGCCAAAATCACCGCATACTGAGCTTAACGTAGGGCTATAAAAGCTTTGCTTCTAGTGTATCTTTATGCCTATGCCGATAACTCTCGGTGTTTTCCGCAAGGAGGCAAAGAGCGTTGCAATGGGATAAATGCCTACCCACCTAGGTCGATTACCATAACCGTATAGGTAGCCCCCGCCCTTTACAAAGCAGAACCAACAGCATGTTTCTTTTCTCCCTCTAACCAACGGTTATTCAAGTAAGTGTATAAAATGATAATCTACTACTACCACTACGAGTCCTTAGCTCTTACATTCCCTGCATCTCTCCCTTTTTTATTTAATTTTTTTTTCTTGGTGCGGTTATCGCGACGGGCATACCGCGCAACCCGGACCCAACCCTTTCCCGCGCCCACCAACCCCTTGTTTTTTTTTTTTTTTTTTTTTCTATCCGTACTACGGATGAGTTCCTATTTGTTTGGGCATTGTTTAGAGGGAACGTGCGTTGGAATACGTGAGAACTAGGGAGATTTTAGCGCGTGGAAGACCATTACGTAGCGGGTATCACGGAGGAGTCAAAGGGATGAGTGCCAAGGTGTATTATAAATGACTGGAGTAGATTATAAATGATGGGCAGAAGAGCTGTATTTGAAATTTGGTTATTTATTTATTTATTAAAGTTAAAATGAAGGGGTAAGAAAGAATAAAAAAGATGAATGCAATAAAGCGTTTCTTTTGGTAAATGTATGTAAATGTATAGTCCTCTTGTGTAAAACATTGGAGAATGATTCTTTTTTAACCCCGTCGCGGAGTTACGTGAACAAAAAAAAAGAAAAAAAAAAAAAAATAGCGGAGTTGCCCAAAACTGACTGAAAAGAAACCAACCTGATCTGGTAGAGTAAGTGGTAGGTAATAGGTAAGGTAGTGCTCAGACACCGGAGCCTTGTAAGGGTATTCCTAGTAGCAGTGCTAACTCTAGTAGCACGGAGCAGGTATTATCAATTACGCAAAGATCAGTCCATGCTACCCTGGGTACCCAGCATGAGCAGTGATGATGACCTCGGTTGGTATCGGGGAGATCGGCGCTGAGTGTCTATCAACCGAGAAGAGAGGGTGTGTAAATGAGTGGTATATAGTTTCTACTCTACTTGTGCTAGTCTGGTACATGGTAATGTTATGTACAGAGTAGACTCTTACTATCTAGGGTCATAACGTAGCCCTTGCTGAGTGACGATGTCCTCCGTGTCTCTTCCTTGCCTGTTTGTATTCGCTTACCGTTAATCCAAAAAAACAAGAAAAAAAAAAATCCTTCCAACACTTTGTATATATATGTGCGCAAAACACAAATGAGGTGGGTATATCTTTCAGTCTCTTCCCTGCTTGCCTCCATCTCTTCTCCCAAATAACACTGATCCGTCGAAGCCATCGTTTGCGCGCGCTGCTCTCTTATCATCTAGTTCCCAAACATGTTCCCCGACGGTCCTCCGGGGCCGCCGTATCCCCCCATGTGCGGAGGCGGTCCGCCACCGCTACTGTTGCGCAAGCCCTCCATACCATTGCCGAAACCAGCGTGGTAGGGGGTGCTAAATCCTTGAAACGTATCAGCATCCTGATAGCCCGACATGAGAAATGACCAAACCATGTCGTCTTCCCCAGACGCTGAGCTGGAGGGCGCCATGGCTGGATGGGCGCCACCAAACCCGGCAGTCTGGTCTACCGGTGGAGTCATCATGGCAGCGTTGTCTGGCGAGTTTGACGACACCTCGCGAGTACGCGGCCGAGGAAAGGTCACCACCGGGGCTTGCTGTTCACCGGGGTCTGGGCGGTTCTCCAAGCGTGCTTTTCGTCGAGTCTCGACACGCTCCTGAAGCTTGGATATGAAGTGTGGCATGGGAATTTCTTTTCCTGCCGCTCGCTGGGCCTCGCAATGCGCTGTCCAGGCTTTGACAAAATGACCACTAAAAGCTGTGTGCATGGGGCTGTGGAGGTTGCTTAGAAGGCCTCTGAGCTCGTAATTCAGCTCAATGGCCGCCCATGCCCTCTCCACCAACGGCCCCGAACTGCGTTTGCGGAGCTCCTGGACCAGGAACATGTATGCCGGGAAGGGAAAGTAATGCATCGCGTACCACCTGTACGGCTGAAGGCTCGGAGAAGACTGGACAACATTATCGTATTCTAGCATCTCAATTGCTCCCAAGATGAGTGCGTCACGCTCCATTTCCTTCAACGGCATCGATTCATTATTGAGGTTGCGAACCAAGAAATTGATGATTCGCATCTTGCAGAGCGCCGCTCGTGTCATGGTCAGAGTAAAGAAATGGAGAGGGATCTTGGGGTCGCAGTGAACCAGGTACGTGCCCTCGATATGAGCACAGAACCCCTCGAGAGTGTATGCGGGAGTATCTTGGCCAGCAAGACGAATCATGACAGGGCTTGGCTTCGCGGGCTGGGAAGAGTCGGCCTTCTTTTCGGGGTACATCTTAAAGCTGTCTCGGTTACTGTTACTTGCGACGGCCATGGAGAGCTCAACGCGCGTCAGAGCAAAAAGCATCTCTGTAGGTCCCGTGTGTGGTGTTGGAGGCTCTTTGCCATCAACATGCAGATCAGAATCATTGACGTTTAAAGGTTTCTTGCAGTCGCAGCCGCTAGTGAGCGCAGTCACCGTCGAACCCGTCATCTCCCCCACACGCCGATCGTAAGAGACAAGCGTCCACCATAAGCGCCGCCTCTGCTCAATTTCAAAGGGGGATAGGCCGTAGCCGTCGGGGTCTCGGTGAAGACCCATCCGCTGGGCGAGGCGAACGGCAATGCCCATCATACAGAATACCTGCCTCGGGTCTATATACCACCGAACAGCCATCTTGATCGCGCATTAGCGAAGAACATACAGGATTGGAAGACAAAACAGTGAAAAAAAAAAAAAAAAAAAAAAAAAAAAAGAGAGAGAGAGAATAGGAATGAAAATCTTACTAGATATAAAAGATATGCCTGCAGAGTCAAGGGGTCGGGCATGCGCATAAAACCGGCATTGACCAGAGCCTGCTGTAGTGCTGGAAAAAACCTGGCCAACAGCTCTTGCTTCGTCTCACCAAAGGTTCTCTGGACTTCGGCATCCTCGAGAGAGTTGATGCAAATTACGTAGATGGCAAACATGAGGGCCTCGAGATTCTTTGGGGCCTCGTGAAGCCGGGACGTTGCCTCAATGATCTTGCTCTGAATGCTAGGCACATGGGTCATTTTTAATAGCGGATTGATGTTGTCAATGTAGATTTGCCAAAGCTGCAGTATGTGGATGGAGGGAGGGTGGAGGTGGGTGACGGGGGCTGTGGAACCTCCAATGATGAATGGGAAGCCGTCCTGGTTGGCAAACATCTTGTCAAAGGCAGCGTGGATGAAGGACTGGTTGGTGACATAGTTGGGAGAATATTCCTCGTCGTCTTCGGACGAGTCTTTTAGCATCTGCTCACTCGCTCTAAACTACATGTTTCATCCGCAGTCAGCATCTTGGTCGAGGTTAGAGTAGAGAGGACGTATGAGTGAGTTCTTACCTCTTTGTGGAGCGAAAACCATGCTCCAGGCTGGCGAAATCTGTCGCAGTACGTAGCTTGAGTTAGCATCTCTACTTGGCTATAGTCTTGTCTCACAGTTTCATAAAGATAAAATTCCTTCCAATAGCAACGCGTGAGCGATGGGAACTTACGAGCCTGCACCGGTCGAATTGGGAGCATTGCCAGATGCTTCGGCAGAAGTCTTTAGACTCTCAAAGTCGTTCTCCAGCTCGTCCACGTCGTCGCCGGCATTGCCATCAGCCCTGTAGTCAGGGTCGATGGCATCGAACTTGACGCCATTCTGTGCCAAGAGGGCCTCGTACTTGCGCAGCCGCTCAAGCAGGTCCTTCTCCTGCAGCCGCTTCTTGCGGCGCCGGGGCGGCTGGGGAGGCACCACGCGACACTCTGCGCCGGCCTTGACGCAGTTGGAGCAGGGCTTGTTCTTGTCGCAACGCACCTTGCGCTGCTGGCAGAGCACGCAGCTGGTGCCCCTGGTGAGCTTCACGGCCGAAGGGTCAAATGCCTGCGGCGGCTGCTGAGGCCGGCTTGCTGAGGCGGCGGCGTTCGGGCGCGGCTGCGGTGGCGGCGGGGCCGAGCCGGGGCCTGCGAAGCTGGCAGACGCTTCGCCAGACATTGTGCACAATATGCCAGCGAGGCTCCGTCTTTTCACTGCCTGTGTTGGGAGCAGCGCTCACCGGATCATGCGAGGGCGAGTGCCGGCGTCTGCGACGTTGGCAGAGACTGATTGGCGGAGGCTGACGGCGCTGGGCCAAAACCCTGCACGCGGCTGGCCAGAGTCTCTCCTCAGGCGACGCACACCGGCTCTCAGCGCATCGGCCCGGGGGCTGCAGATGGCTGTAGGGCTGAGTCTCGGTTGCGAGCGACGACTCTCGGACCCGGGTCCAGGCTCTTTTTGTCCTTGGCTGCGAGGCGGTTTGGTTTGCAGTCTGTGGGAGATTTGCATTGGCGACGGAGGAGAAAGCGGGGGGCGCTGTTGGAATTCTCAGGTGCCGTTCTGGCAGCGCCGGGCCAATCACGGAGGGGGGGCTGGATTAGTTCAGCAGGGGATTCATGCCAGAGCGGCAGCGCATGTCATTCCCTGGTAAATGGGACGCTGGATCGGTAGCATCTGGATGCCGCGTTTGCTCTTTTATTAACAGCGGCTACACGGCCAGTACTTGGATGACTCATCCGGCACATGTACGTTTGCAGCAGTCCACGTATTGCTCGACCAACACGGAGTCCATTAACAGCAAACACTCGGGTACATGGCGCCAATGCAGGCTCCCGAGACATGATTAACACATAGAGGTATGCTCTCATCTGAATACCAGTGAAGTGGAATGATCTTGTCACTTGATTATACCATTCCTTCTCAAGGCTACACGCATTCATATGACGTTGACGCCGGGGGTTGAAACGAAACGAAATTCACGACTAATACCCAGAACTCTACCTGTTCGTAAAAAGATGGCATATTAACCATCGTCTACCTAACTCTTTCTCATGGCACGTCGTAAGCTTAACACGTAAACTAATAAAAAGACAATACTCCGTACTAGGGTAGCTTTAAGCATGATCCTTTCAATTTTCAAACCAAAGCCCAATACCCACACTTGACTCATCGTCAACTTACATGCCCTACGCAACAGCCCCTGTTTCCACATCTTCTCTGTGGCTGCCTAGCATTGTGTAATGAATGAACAGTGCTCTGCATCAGGAGGACAAACAGCAAACACCGAAACCAGTGCCACGCCAGACAATCAAGCCAGACAATAGGAGCTCGGGCATCGCCTCGGGACCGAGACCAGAGGCGCCACAGCCCAACGGGTACTAGCGCTGCTGCATGCCCGAGATCTCTCTCGGCCGGTTGGGCTACGGAGCTCGTCTGGCTTGTAAGTCATGGCCGGCCACCTAGTTACGGTACCGAAACACGATGGCAGAATCAGAAGCTTTCGTTCTTGTCCGTCATATTTACCAAATGCTAGAAACATGACCGGAATGGGACGCCATGGCGCCGGGCCGCGTACCCAGCAGCCGTTGACAATTTAAACCCCCTTTCTCTTGCTCATAAACGTCTTCTTCTAAGTCTGCCTTCTGGAATTGTTGGCCGTCAAACCGAGACAATCGTCGAATATTCAAAAACAAACAAACAGTCGTCTGCTCAAATCTCAACTGTTGTGAAGCATTCGATACAAGGCCAAACCTCTTCACAATGCCTTTCTTCGACGAGAAGGCTGCGTCACCAGAGGCAACATCTCCTATCGATCACCCTGGATTTTCCACATCTTCATCCGAGAATTTCAAGAACTTCGACGCCCATGTCGACGAGAAATCCGAACCAGCGCATGAACCAGCCTCCGCAGCTTCACAGCCAGCAAACGAGGATGGCACCGAGATAGCGGCAGCACCTCAGGGCACAGCCCCCGACAGCCCAGAAGCAAACTACAACCCGAAATCTCTAAAGTTCTGGCTCATCTTGCTATCTGCTTTTGTGTCCATGTTCCTCGTCGCCTTGGATCGGACCATCATCTCCACCGCAATTCCCACAATCACCGATGACTTCAAGAGCTTGGGCGACATTGGATGGTATGGATCGGCCTATATGCTTTCTACAGCTGCCTTTCAGCTGGTCTGGGGACGTATTTACCGCTTCTACGATTTACGATATACCTTTTTATCCTGCATCATCATCTTTGAGATAGGTTCTGCGGTATGTGGCGCCGCGCCAAGTTCACCCGTCTTCATTATTGGTAAGTGCACACACTCATTTTCCAGGTGTTGCTCCATGTGGAGTTACATAAAGGCAAAAACCACAGTAAAACAATGACATGATAAATATCTAACATCGTATGATAGGTCGAGCAATCGCAGGTGTAGGTTCTGCGGGAATCACCACAGGATCGATGCTGGTTACAATTCCACTGATCCCCCTGGCAAAGCGTCCTATGTTTCAAGGTATGATCCCAAGCCTCTCTAAGCACTTCTTCGCCCTCGGAACAAAATCTCTAATTTCTGCCAACCTGTAGCCATGTTCGGTCTGGTATTTGGTATTGCCAGTGTTTCTGGTCCCCTCATAGGCGGAGCTCTCACCGAACGCGCAACATGGCGATGGTGCTTCTACCTGAACCTCCCCGTCGGAGCCGTCGCCTTCGTTTTCATGTTCCTCTTCTTAAGAATGCCCAAGAAGCCCCAGCCGCCTGCTTCCGTCAGCGAACAGATTCTCCGCCTCGACCCCTTTGGCACATTCTTCTTCATACCTTCAATCGTGTCTCTCCTGCTTGCGCTGCAGTGGGGAGGATCGACATATTCATGGAATAGCTGGCGTATCATTCTTCTCTTCATCATGTTTGGGCTGTGTGCCATAGCGTTTGCTGCAGTTCAAATTTTGATGCCCAAGACGGCGTCGCTGCCTCCAAAGGTTATTACGCAGAGGACCATGCTCTCCGGGACGTTTTTTATGATATTCACTGCTGGTGCGATGATGCTTTGTGTTTACTACATACCGCTATGGTGTAAGTTGATTCACTTCATTCAAATTTTCTTTTCTTTTGTCTTCTTCTTCTCCTTCCTTTCAAGATTTGATACTAAACAATTTCTTCAGTTCAAACCACGCATGGCATTAATCCGGTCAAGTCGGGTATATACACTCTTCCGCTTGTTCTCAGTCTTGTGGTGGCATCCATCGTTTCAGGCTTCGTCACCCAAAAGTCCGGATACTATTCCCCATCCCTGATCATTGGCCCATGCATCATGGCCGTCGGCGAAGGCCTCTTATCCACATTCACACCGGATACCCCATCTTCTCACTGGATCGGCTATCAATTCCTCACTGGATTTGGCCTAGGGTTTGGCTTCCAGACCATCAATCTGGCTATCCAAACAGTACTGCCCAAGGAGGAGATTCCGACAGGCGTTGCAATCATCTTCTTTGCGCAGCAGCTTGGAGGTGCCATCTTCGTTTCTGTTGGCCAGACAATCCTCAGCACCTTGCTCGTCTCTCACCTCTCAGACATCCCAGGCCTAGACCCCATGATGATTGTGAAGACCGGCGCAACCGAGCTCGCAAGAGTTGTTCCTTCGGAATTTCTGTCAGCTGTAATTAATGCGTACAATTATGCCTGCACGAGAATCTTCCTTGCTGCAGTAGCACTGACTTGCGCTTCGCTGCTCTGCGCGCTTGGTGTTGAGTTTAGAAGTATCAAGAAACCCAAGAATCAGAATCAGAATCAGGAGACAAAGGCATAATCAATAAAAGGCGTTTGTAGTCAATTAAAGAATAGGTTCAATTCAAGGCGCGTTCGGGGGCACAAAAACAAAAGTTGAATTAATTGCTAGATTTGAACTAGCTAATGTATAATTTAGATGCTTTCACTCTCTGCTCTACATAGTTATCGTTCTCTTTTCCTAGATATTCATCCAATGTTCTCTTAAATAATGTCTGTACCATCTCATAACACGCTCTCACTTGAATGATAATCTGTTTGAATGCTTTCAACTGTAGGAGTCTTGTTTATTTGTTTCATTTTTGTCTTTTTTTTTTTGTTTCACTTGTTGAAAATATACCAAGCCCTGAACATGCATTATCGCCATTCACTTGTGTCGTGTTCCGTCCCTTCAATGCGTCTTTCTACACCCTCTTTGAACTCGATTCTATTCAGTTATTCTCGAAAAAAAAAAAGATCAACTCAAGACGAATATTTAACGGCCTCAGTACCCTATACCATGGAGTCTAATATCATCATCACCACTTCAAACAACATTCCACCAAGACCCATCCACCAAGACTCATCCATCCAATTCTTCTCGTCTTCCTCTTCTTCTTCAAATTCTAACACCTTACCATGTGTTTCGTCGACCGAATCACGTACTCATGCACACACATCGAGAATGTGTATACCGACGAGTGCGAGGCCCCAGGAAAGAGATGCCCAAAGCATATTACTCCTCGCACATCCGACTCTGTATGTCCAAACTGTCTAGAAAAAACCGCGCCAGTAGAGCGCCAAACCGCAATTGTCGACTTCTACGACAACTTGAAGGGATATTTGAGACACAGCTTCGAACTAACTAATACATTTGATCACGATATCTTGGCACCACAGGTCCAGCGAATTATCGAGATCATCGAGGAACAGAAGTCCAATGCTTTAGTCGAGCTAGAGCTGAAGATTGCGATCGAAGTCGCGAAGAAGAAGGCAGATGGAGAAGAATTTGCTGAGGGTTCTGGAGGTGGATGGATCTAGGTAACGTTTGATTTGTCGTTTGCATTTTTGTCTTTATTTGTTGTCTGCATTTGTTGTCATTATCTATCCTCTACATTTGTCATCTTCATCTATTGCCTACATTTGTCGTCTACATATATTGGTTGCATTTATCGTTTTTATTCACCATCTACATTTGTCATCTTCATTATTGTCTACATTTATTGGTTGCGTTGCATCAATAGGAGTTTTGTTTCATCTCATTTGTCTTTGTGATACGATTATAACATTCATCAGTATGACAATGTGCTAGTCCGTATTAGCCATGTAGCCACGTTGACTAAAATATCAGTTACGTTTACAGCCTCCTAAACAACGCGTTCCGAGCTAGGATACAAATGCCATAAAGCTCCTAAACGGCCTTTTCTTCCTCTCTCAGATGAGCAAATAAATCGCACCATTTTACAGAGAATTCCAATTTACCCTTCCATCACTGTACTGTGCTAATTGATTCGCAAGGTAGTAACCCGGCCTAATACGGCGCGCTTCACATCGTCCGTCATCGCTATATAGACCTATCAAAAATTGGCCAAGCACTATTTCTCAAGCAAACACAAACGAATAGAAAGAATGCGCTATAGGGTATTTCGAAGCTTCAGCCACAGCATTTTCGCAAGAGAAGCAGAAAAAAAATCTAAGCGCCGTATCTTTTAATGTCTCGTGTCTGTAAGCTTTGCGATTACTGGTGTAAGATTACGAGTGGCTTACTATCGCAGATGATGTGAGAGTGAGACGAGATTACCTTTTCCAGCTCTCAGGTGGGGTGTAAATCTAGCCATTCGGCAGATAGCCGAATTAAATGCAAAATTTAAGTGAGCTGTTCACCTAGCAGTGGCGTAGTTAAGGCGTCGTTTGACAGTCCATTTTCATAACCACAAGAGTTCCAGAGGTCATCGCCAAGATCTCACGACAGTTATGAATTTTCAATTTCCGGGCCTAAATTCCTTGGCTTCGCTACAGCGTCTTGCTCGAGTATGAGGTGGCAATTCCCTCTTTCAGCGCCGCAGGATGTAGCGAAAGGTAGCAGAGACTTGCAAGCAACGGCAGACACTAAACATAGAGCAATAAAAAATCCCGGAAATAACTAACAAAACAGAAAAGTTGCATCATAGGAAAATCAAATAGTTGTTAGCTTCTTGCTATTGATTCTTTCGATGAACACTCAATTGGGGGCTGGATTGACCTGTCATTCGGTCCTACTATTGCACCGAGTCTATTACGCGGGTATATCTTGTCAACCATGATGAGGCAATTTTATTTTCTGTTTTGCTGCCATCAAATCAACTTCTCATCCTTCCGTATATAATAGCCTGGGTTTGGTAGTTTCTAGTTGGAACATAACCAACAAGTCCGCCTCATGAGCAAACGGGGAGGGAACTACACTCGCCAGTGCTCGATGCTTTTGATTTTCATCTGAGCCATTTAATGTCTGATGAGTTATGTTGTCATCTGGAACATAAAAAGGCCAGTACAATGCTATCATACCTACGAGTCGAATGTCCCGTCATCATATCAAACAGGGCCGTCACGTACAAACATCATAAGAGCCGTTGATCAGTCCAGTACAGCCTGTTGCATGTCTCCGGATTGGAACATCTTTCTGAATTTGGAAGCCTTCCCGCTATTAATCAATAAGACTTCCAGACTTAGCTCGCTATATAAGATACTCGGTGCCGTAGCTGTGCAGAATCGCTCAAAATCGTTGCCCAAATTCCAAAGCTGTTTCAAGAGTAGCAGGGTTGTATGGTCACATATTGCCTATGCTCACTCATTGACTCGACACAGATTCTGAGAGATAATGGCCAGTGTCTGGCCACCAGTCGTTTGAAAGCAAAACGTCCCTATTCCAGATGGATAAATAAAATCAACCGCAGGAAAAGCATTGGATTAGGTAACGAGCTGTATGTACACTGAAAGATGCTCTATCTATGGTTTATTTGATATAGTATGTGTATACTGTTTTTCAAAACGATAGACCGCAACCTCTCTCGGAATAGAAAATTGCGACATTATAGCAGCCCTCTATCTACGAAGAAAGGGGTTGAAATAACTTCAAACGAGATTACTCGTCGTAGATTTCTTGTTAAAGTTAATTATGGCTCAAAAGAATAGCTAGTTGCTAAGTGCAGTTGCCTGCCAGGTGATGGCGATGGGTGGCACTCCAGGCCGTTTGCTCTGACGTGACGGCCAACTGGCATATATGTTCAACTTATTCCGATCTTTTGGACGAGAAAAAACTTTCTTTCTTATTACCCTTATTTTCCTTCTTTTTATTTTATCAACAATAAAACCTCCCCAAGGAAGAAAAGGTCATCTACACATCGCAACTCTGAACTCCCTTGACCAACATACCAAGAAAACGAAGCCATTCAACATGGATGCAACATCCAACTCAAAACCCAGCACCAACATTTCCAGTCAGCCTTTGAAACGAGTTGCACCTCGAGAAGATCTGAATATTCCTTGGTACCTGCTAGTTGCGCGTGGCGAGCTTGCGTACAGTAACGAAACCCAAGCATGCTGGAGAGACTCGACGGAGGACGAACAACGTGTTCGCTGCGAGAATATCATGAGGATAGCTTTCTACATCGTCGGCGTGGACCCAGATGATTATTCCATCTGCCTTGAAGCCTGTGTAGAGAAGGCCATGAGTACCAAGCTTCTGTCTACTACTGCATGGACCAGCTGGAGTGGACACAAAAGCCTCAAAGCCAAAATGAAGCTTGTCCAGCAATATACTGACTCCACGAAACAGGTCCACTGCCCTCCAGCACCAATAATAATGGCAGCGGTGGCACTGAAGCTAATCCGAAAAGTTGAGGGCACTGGGACAGATGAGTCAACCATCTTGATTGAACAATACAAAACTTTCGGCATGGCACCAACTGCAATTCACAACTACGCGGGCAACGAAGAACGTCTTATTCGTATCATGTACAAACTCGTTCGACCGACGACTGAGCAAGATGAGCCTATCACTGAGTCTCTGCGTGAAGTGAGTCTCGATGTGGACTCCTTTCGGTCTAGCAGACACTTTGAGCCTGGTAGGCGAAGCAATGCAGCGCATCGTTCTTCATCCGGCAAACCAGACGATACTACCGCAGATAACAAGATCGAAGAGAGGGAAACGCTCGCGGTGGAGGTCACATGCGAGTTGACCAGAGGCCAGGCAGAAGACGAGCTTAGAGACATACTCGACCTCTTCAAAAGCAAGCAAGACACCTCCGTGACGGAAGAGATGGGCAGACGCATCACACTGGCTCACATGAAGGTGCTAGCTCCAGTCAATAAGCTATCCGTCTTCAAATGGGCAAAAGCAACCAAAGACGATCGAATCCTCGGCCTATTTGGAGTGTCGCTGGATACTGGACAAATACACCTGGACAGAGGTAGTCGAGAGGCCCATGTCAACAACGTGGTCCAATCACCCAGCATTTGCCATTTGGAACGAGACAAAAGAGCTCGTCAGCAAGAAAGACAACCCCAAGCGCATACAAAAGAGACTCGATATGCTGCGTGAGATCCTCGTGCGCGAAGCCTTTGAGAAGCAAGACAGCAAGCCGCTGCCAGATACCCGGACGCAGAACCAAACTGCAGAGCTGCGCGACGAGATTACGGCCATCAAGCAAAACCTGGAGAGCGTTCAACGACACACCGACAGCCTCAAGAGGCAGAATGACGAGGTCATTCAGCTGTTGAAGGATGAAAAGAGGCGCAAGTCGGTGTGCGTTTTTCAAGATCAACTGGACGACATTTGATGATTTGATGCAATACACACGGCGATTTCACCTTTTTCTTTCTATGTAATTTTACTTGCTTTTGTTTTTTTGGCGGGGAGAATGAGCCGTTGTGCGACGCACTTGGTATCGCGCAGCCGCATAATGGGTGTTACTTCACAGCTTTCAAGCTGATAATGTCTAGTTGTTTTTGGTCTAATTCATAATGGCAATTAAATATGCTTTTTTGTCTGGTTCTTTAGGGATATGCGCTATTTTTATCTTTGTGATACATACTACAAAGATTCATGTAATCAATTATATGCAAGGGCTTCCATCTAAATATAGGTCTACTTGCAACAACGTTATGAGTAGCTTTGCACGGTGATGTCCAGCACGCGAAATGTAGCCATCTCGGCATGATATATTCCATATTACAAATTATTTCAAGTCCTTATTTATACCAGCGATAAAAAGTAATCAAGTCCGTCATCCTCATGTCCTCGTGTCTTCAAAAACAGTATCCACTACTATTGCCGACAATGTCCAGCCGTAAGCACTACGTTTCTAAGACAGTCTAATTAATGTTCTATGATAGGGGTATCTTTTGCAATGATCTGGTGGGCTTCCTAGACAACTCCAAGCCCCAGGTAGCCAGAAAGCTGCAGCCTCAAATGGCCATGAGCATAGCGAGTGCCAGTGCTCCGATTGACACAGACAACGAGACGCTGCCGTTATCTTTGCCATCTTTGTCTGAAGAGCCGCCGCTGCTGCCGCCTTTGCCACCACTGCTGCTGCCGCCTTTTCCATCATCGCCACTGGTAGAGTTGGATGAGTCATCGTTGTCGACAATCTCACCACCAAAGCTCGTCCTGCCGGGGGAGACGCTCCTTGCCAAAGCAGCGGCTCGCTTCTTGTAGTCTGCAAGTGTCTGGTTCTTGCTGGGGTTGATGATTCCAACCATTCCGCCCGAGCACTCATTGCCCTGTGAGGAGTAGAAGGGAATCGGGTCGGTTCCGTTTACCGTAACGCGGAAGATTTTGTCCTAATATCAAGTTAGTATACAGGTAGGCTGAAAGCAAAGGGCCAAGACTCCACATACTGCTTCGCCGTCGGTGGTGTTGAAGGAGAATCCTGAGAAGAACCCGGTGCCCAGTTGCATGGGAGTGCAAGGGAAGGCGTAGAGACCCGAAACCACACTGTGATTTTTCGGCTCGAAATGGAATTCAAGAATATCGCCATGGGATGCCGTAATGTTCGATGGTTCGAAAGTGTTCGACGAAGTAGCCGTGATCTTGATTGTCTCTGCGCTGGCTAGGCATGCCAGAGCGGCAGCCGACAAAAGACTCTTCACAGAAGGCATTGTATGGATACTAATATAATCGATTGCAATTGATGGGAGAAAATTCGGAATATATTCAATCGCGGAAAGAAGGAAGACAAAAAGAACAAAAAAAAAAAACAAAGAATGCCGAATAAGTAGCAAATGCAGTGCCGCTGGCTGACTTCACAAAGGGGGACAAAAATTTAGTTGATGGGTCAGAGCTGGGATAGGGCTAGTATTTAAATACGAGCTGAAAATCACGAAGGATTCTCGTATTGCTACTTGTTTTTTTTTTTTTTCCGGGTATGTACGCGGTACAGAGGGTCTCATGGTGCAGATCCAAGAAGCTGCCCAAGCAACCGCGTGAAAGCAGCTAGCAAGCGAATAAGCAAACGACAACAGCTCAAATCAGTCTGCGCCACGATGGAAAAGCCCCAGTGCATCCATGCATAATGCGGTCATGCATAATGCCGCCATACTGGGAATAGGCCTGGCTACATCCTGTTTTAGAACAGTTGGCCAGGGGGCTCACCGAAAAATATGCCGGTCATTCAAGGCTACTCTGTATAAGTATAGTGGCATGAGGTGATGATTAGTTAAAATCGTTCCAATGATGCGTGTCGCTTCTGATGATACTTTGTCCACCAGCGCTTAGATCATAGGCCTGTATGCATCGCCTAATGAGAAAAAAAAAACAACCAAAACAAGGAGCTCGGACATCCTGGCGCGTCTGCTGGCTTCATGTACAAAGTATAAAGCACCTGAGCTGTGTCTGGGCGCTCTGCAAGGGGGTTCATCTCACCGTATCCAGACACGGCGTAGAGTAATGGCACCTTGGCACTTTGCTTGGCACTTTAACCTGTTTCTCGTCTTCAGCAGAGCCAGCACAAAAACGTGAGCCGCAGCATAGCGCTGGTGAGTAGTTCGTCTGCTGCTGACAGAATGGGCCTTGTGATCAAGCAATATGTTGCCAAATATAGCAATTTTCTGTGTAAGTCGCTGCACTGATCTAAAGGATCAGATACTAGACTAGTACATAGTAGCTGGCCGCTAGGGCCGCTTCGATCGCTGATGTGGCTGTGCGACTCCTTACCTTCACTCAATCCTTACCTTCACTCAATGCTTACCTTAGCACGCTTGGGCCGATTTTGGGCATTGAGAGAACATATTCGCCGCTCTGCTTGGCCACATCATAATCGTACGATGGGCTGTTCGATGGCTGGCCTAAGAGAAAGGGAAAGGGGGGGAAGGGAAAAGGAATAATGGTCTAGACAAGATCTTTATAGACTCCGGCGATGTTGAGGCGGCAGCCTTTGATAGCCCTACCAGGTAGTACACGGGGAAATAAAAAAGTCTGGCCGCGTATCGGCCGCCATTATGCGGTACCTACTAGTAGCGGACAGCCGAGTATTCGGGTCCGCTTCGCCTTGCCACCGGCACCGGCGCTCGCCGGCAGGCTCTTGGTCGCCGAACTGGTCGCATCCAGATATTGTCCTGGCTTGAGCGATGCAGGTCTCCCGTGGTAGCACTCGGTAGCGTGTGGTTTGGAGCATCGGTAGATGCATCGTGCGCAAGTGCGGCAAAAGCCCTCTCCTGTCATTCGATCTGGAGCCCGTTAGTGTGGCTCACATAGGGCCATTCACGTGGATAGCGAGCTCAAGTTGGAAAAGATGCCCTTTTAAGCTTCCGGATCCAGATCGGCTGCCGCCTAGAGTCGATTTGCCTCTCTGGGCCCTCCAGATCACATATATTTTTTTTTGGCTTTGCGATTTCTTCAGCTCATACGTAATCAGCCTTTTCAGCCGCTAAACAAGAGGCGAATGGTGTCGCTTTGATTTCCGTTTTGGGCCAATTGCTCACTCCCAGCCCAGTTTGCGGCTCGCATACTCGTACTGTTTTCTGTATTGGCTGTCAGCCATTTCGCAGCTCAAGCTTGAGGCAGCAAACCACACAAAGCGTACTTGGTAAAAGCAGCGAAGAAGAAGAAAAGGAACTCTATTCCGGCAGGGTTGGAGAGTGCACGTAGTGAGGCGGAGGCTTAGACAACTATAAGATTGATGGGTGTGCAAACAGAATATTTTGTTCTCGGTAGCTAGCTTGAGCGAACAGCAGTAATTGTCGTAGTTTCACAACCGGCAGTCTTCCGAGCAAAGAGCCAAAGCCAGCCGGGCTGAAAATTAGAGCTGGCCTGTGCGGCATCCCCAGAAAGGCACTTGTACAGTCGCCAGTTGCAATGTCGTATGTTGGATGTTACGGCCGTGCAGTATGACGCTCCTCTGGGACCCATAGATATGTACCGTGGCTCGCCAAAGAAATTGCGCCGCGCAAGGCTCACCAGACAACATCTGCATCATCAATTGAGAGGGAGGAGCAAAATCCGCTGCCGCGTTTCACGACGATACCCTTGTGAAGCTAGCGTGCAGGTCAAGAGGCGCTCGGAACCACACCCATGGCTGCAATGTGATGGGAGATTGAGCCCAAGGTTGGGTCAGCGTTCCATCGTGGGGAGACGGCCGGGGTGAGCCGAGATGGAGAGTCAATTTACTTGGCACTTGTGAGTATATTATCTCGGCCTGAGAGGGCAAAACAAAAGAAATGAAGGGACAAGAGGGGAGAGGGGAAGTGGGAGAGGAGCTGAGATGAGCTGAGATGAGCAAACAGTAAACGCAGAATGGGTGAGGTTGAGGGAGAAGCAGAGAGGAAGACGAGCAAGCAAAAAAAAAAAAAAAAAAACCCTTTTCCCCCATCTGCCTTTCTCCCACGAGAGTCGTAGCGGTTGGTTGCTGTGATGAGCGACAGCCGGAGGAATGTGAGATGCAGGGCGGAAAACAGTTTCAACTAACTGGGCCAACACACACTTTTCTCAGCACAATCTTGCGCTATCACCGATGTAAACCGGAGGGTGGTGAAAGGGCTGAAAGGCGCATCCCGTATCGACTATCGCAAGCCTCGTGACCCGGCCTGGGCTGCTTGCAACGAGTTCCAGGCACGTCGAGGCGCTTGGGCAGCGGTTGTGGGAGACGGGGAAGGTTCAATAGGTGAAAACCTAGTCCGTCGGGAGAGATACACGGCCGGCGGTAGGCGTGCAGGTACCGGGTACACAGACCATGGAGCAGTCCGTGCTTGCTTCGACTGAGGCAACGTGGAGTTGAGGGGCCTCCAGGCAGAGCTAACCGCGCCTTATCCCCACCGGCGCTGCGACGCTGGGAGCTGCGGACAGTGGCAGCGGATTGGCAGATTGGGTACTAGACGGCAGGCGGTACAGTACCGGGTACCTGCCAACACGCTCTGGGCTGGGTCTCGTTGCGCTGCAGCATCGAGCCTGCCCTACCTGCGTGTGTTTTAATATTCGCAGCCGGGGGGTGCTCCTCCCTCGGAAACAGGCAAATCTAACTACTGATGAGTGGCGCTCTTTGGCTGCCCCTCTAATCTGCGAGGTTTCTCGCTGCTCTCTTTTCTCTCATACAACAAACGCCAGTTCATTTTACTATACCCTGGACCATGCCGCCAAAACCACATGGCAAAACCGCCAAAATGACCGGGGGGGCAAAGTGAATTTTGAGAATCTGCACTGTCTGTCGGAACGCGCCCCGGCTTGCGCGTGGACGTGATAGGTGCAAGGCCAGGTGCGGGTGCAGGGCACGGATGCTGATACAGCGCAAACTTCTCGTTGTCGGACCGTGGGACTTGCAAATCGAACATGCTGCGCAAGCCTCGGAGGGCTCCGTGGAGGTGGCTCAGACGTGCATGCAAGCGCGCGGGCACCAGCGAACGACAAAAGCCAAAATCCTCCCTCTGACGGCGCGGCCTCTTCCTCACGAAAGAGAGAAAAAAGATGGCGTCGCTAGGGCTAAGCAGCCTCTTGCCCCGCCATAACGGCGCTGGCGCACCACTTGTCAGTCCCAGCGTCCCGGTAGTGTGGCTCCAGCGGAAAAAGCAAGGGATTTTGTCTCATGATCGACCTTCGCTGCGCTGCGGCGCACGCTCCGTCATGCTGTCACACTCGAGCAAAGCGTCCAAGATGTCCGCGTATGTACGGAGCTGGCGCTGCCTGTCCTGTACTGTGCGCGTTAGAGGCGGCCCTGTCAATCTGTCCGAACGAACCGCAGGAAGAGCTTCCGTCCGCCCCCCAGCGCGCGCGTTCTTCTCCGCAGAGCAAGTGCACTCGTGGATGCTGATATTACGCCGTATTTCGCAAGCCCACGCACGCCCATTGCGAGCAGGGGATGCTGGTAATGGCCATAGCAGCTTTGCCGGGCACATGGGACTTGGCAGGAATGCCAATCTACTTTAGAGCTTCTTACTGGCGGCTTTGCACGCACACACATGCGCATGTATAAAGACGCATTTTCACATATTAAATCCCGGGCCTTAGAGACCCGCCCAAAGCGCCCACTATCGGGCACTGGGCTCGACGAGCCCCGGGTGATGTGCAAGCGCCCAGGCGACGTTTTCTCTCTCTTTTCTGGTGCTCGTTTCTTCTTGTGCCTGTAGCCCTATCGTGGCTGAATACTAACCTCCTTGTGCCATCCACGCGTGGCACCAAAGGCGTGGCTGCATAACACTTCATCGAGCTGGCGGCGATATAACTACTCGCCGAGGTGGCTTGCACGTCCCAAGGCTTGGGCGGCATCGTTGACCCGTGAGTGGCGCATCTCGCCCCAGCTCCCAAACCCATCCATGGATAACGAATAAACGTGGGCGGGCTAACTTAGTACGAAATCTTTGTGGAGGCTGGACCTCTTTGCTTGCTTGCTATCTGGGGCCGTCTGGCGCCCACACATGCTGCTCTCTTCCTTAGCCTTAGCGCGCTTCCCTTGGTGTCCAACATGGCATCCATACGTTATTAGACCTAAGCCTAGGGTAGGGAACAGAGAGCAGTTCTTGTATTGCAGACTTGCCAAGTACATCTACCGATCTCCCGCCTAATATAAGCTGCCTGGGTCCCTAAATTACTTTCTCATCCCTATATTGAGCCAGGGACTCTCTTGTGCGTGTGCGCTTGGGTCATGTCGTGTTTCCTTCTCTCATCCCCGCTTATTGCTGGATAGCTCTTCCTTTCACCTTCAAAAGAGGACTAGGAGAGAGGCACAGAGAGAGTTAGTGAGAGAGAGAAAAAAAAGAGAGAGAAAAGCGAATGCCCTCTACTCGCCTTTCTTCCCCGGCCGCCAACTCTTCTCAGCTCCCGCGCGTCGTTGGAGGGATACGAATATCCTCGACTCATTTCCTCTAGACGACTTAGAAGAAGGGAACCCGTTTCTTGCGTCTCTTTCTTTTGTCGCCGTCTAGGGCCGCGACTCTCTAGTGGATCTTGCTGACCTCTTCTTAATACCTTTTCTCTTATCACCTTTTGCTCCTCTTTTTGGCCCGTCCTCTATTAACATTGTATAATACGCAAAACCCCCCATACGGTCATGACGGTTGTGGCTGCTTTTGGTATATGGAAATCACCGTCTTGCTTGGCGAGACAGCTTCTTCAGACCATCCAACATCTATTCCTTTGCTATATGCCACTGAAAAAAAAGCCCGCTGTCAGCACTGCATATCACTTGCGCCAACTGCCGCGCTCCTTCTCCCCTTGCGCCCTGCACCTTCAACAACTTTCTTCCGGAGTCGAGCGATAGGTCGCTATCTATGCGGCCAAATCACATCGGGCCCTAAATGTCAACTCCTGCAGTAAGTGGTTCAGCCCGTGTATCATCTTGACCCCCTCCCCCTCCCCCAGTCAACATGAGTTAGAAAACAGTGACCGACTTACGCCTTCTCCTCTTTCTTCTCCGGCAGCAAAAAGCCAACCTCGCTCGCATCCGAGACAACCAGAGAAGGTCTCGTGCTCGGAGGAGGGAGTACATCGCCGAACTTGAGCAACGACTTAGAAACTTTGAGCTTGAAGGGGTTTCTGCGAGTTCCGAGGTCCAACTTGCAGCCAGGCGTGTGGCCGAAGAGAATAGACAGCTCCGAGAGCTTCTTCACAAGCACGGCTTCCAAGACGAATACATCGCTCAGTTTCTTTTACAGCAGAGTGGATCGACAGACCCCAGCTCAGGACACCGGTTCAGCGCCGGTGATCATGTTCAGGCGCTTCAGCAGGTCATTAGTCCTCGAAGGCCCGTATCGTTGGACTCTGGAGTTCCCTTTCCACTACCTAGCCAGGTAACCAGAGAAATGCCAACGGCGAGTCTATCGACGGCCAGCGCAGCGCCCTGGGATCCTCAGCAGGTAGCAATGTCGTCGTTTGGACATCCCCAGGTAGTGCCGCCTGCACCGCATCCTTACGCCTCGCCAGCATTTACAGAAGGGCCAGCGACCTCTCTGAGGCAGCCTTCCTTCCAGCCTCTAAATCCTTCAAGCTCGCTGCTTGACGACGTCTCTCAGCACGGCGGAACGACTCCAGCAGGCGGGGAAAATACCGCAGCAATGAGCTACCTTTCCATAAATCCGTATCATAATCCTACAGGCCGCGACTTTCCTCCTCAGCCTCCTCAGCCTCCTCAGCCTCCGCAGCCTCCTCCTCCGGGACCCGGCTATTATTAACGTGGTAAATCAAAATATGAGCTACGCACGAACGATCCACCAATGATTTGACGGTCAAGTTTACGAGACGATTCAATAGTTCTCCGACGATCGCAGAGAACTTTGCATATTCGACCGGCGGAGAGATTTCTATTGGAATGGATACTCACACGAGACACCCTGTAAAGAGGCTGCGCCGTTTGCCGGATGTGTCGGGCGTGCACCTCACGACTCCCCGGTCACGATACGCGCCATACCTCGTAATCGCAGGAGACAATCCCAGGCCAACGACCAACAACCTAGAATTTTAAGCAACTAATGCGAGATACATAATCTCCACGACTAGTGAAGCAACATTACAGTGTCGATGATTTAGCATCAGCAGCACATATAACTGCTTACGAGGCGAAAAACTACAATCTCTAAATCAAAATCTCAACGCAGAACGACGACCGATTCGTGGATCCCAGCAAAATGCTGCACGCCCTGTACGATCTTCTCTGGCATCAAGGCTTATAGATAAATACTTGGCTCACGATACCACAGCCGGCTTGATAATTCAATGGAACCATCTCGTTTTTGGTACTTTGTCCCCATTATTTTTCTTTTTCTTTTTTTCCCGGGCATTCTTAGGGCGAAAGTCGGATCGTAATGTTCAGTCGGGAGCAAAGTCGTATTATTATTATTATTTTCTTGCATCGGTAGCGGCTGAACAGAGCGGATGATGGATGGAGAGAGAGATACTTGTTTGAAATTTTACTCGTTAATATTGTAGGCTAGACGGATAAGTTCTGTATCTGCGCGATGTGTATCTCCGGATAGGACACGAGAGTTGATATACCCAGGGCGACTGAGTTGGTATGAGAGAAGATAGATGGAATTTGCTCCATTATATTGAGCTTGGGTGCCCGACCGACTATTCACAAAACCACGAGTTGTAGAATAGTCTCTTTGCTTGATTCTCCAACAAAGAACCATCACCCATTTGCCCATGTTGGCGGCTTGTCCTCGTCGCGTTCGGCTGCTGTTTGGCAGCTTAGCGTGCCCGTATTGATGACAATGGAAAGAAATAGATTGGCTGACTAAAAGGGTTAATGAAAGATTAGTAACTTTGATGATTACATGGTGGAGAAGATGGGAAAGGAGCTATCTTGACTTGGGTAGGTAAGAGTATGATGACATAGACCCTGTTGGCTGGTGTTTCTGCTCTATTTAGAGTTTACATGAAGTAGCGTGTACTCCATACCATTGGACGATGTACGCTGGGGAAGACGGGGGCCAGAAGCAATGTTCCCCTAGTTTGGCTTATTGCGATGGTGGTGGTGACAATTTGCAGTAGTTCGCGTCGCGTACTTGAACTTGCAATCATTACCTGTTTGTTTCGGAAGAGAAACAAACATGTCAAATACAGTTTCTTAGACGAGGCTTGGGTTTTACCAAGTTCCTGAGCATCCTTGAATAGCCCATCGCGTTGAAAGCTCTAGGGTACCTATTGCTGTCGAATTGTATCCCACTTACACAAGCATGCATGCCCTGCAATGGTTCCACCGCCCTGACACTAGGCCGTGGCACGCGAGAAAAATAAAATGGAACAAAATTAATATAAAAACCTATTTTCAACTCAAAAGAGGGGCGCAAGCTTAAACTCGAACTTAACAAGAGCACTTCGTTTTCTTAGCAGTAATATCAATGCAAAGCGATCCCTTTCTCAAGATGCTTCAAGTACAACAGCAACGTCACAGCGCACCGGAGCCAGCGCCTAAACTGCGGCTAATTACCCAATCCGTCTGTTGTCGAAAGTCAGCCCATTATAACCTGCCGGCCGCTCTCCGAAGCTGCTCGGTAGTTCGGAATTGACCCGCTTGGCCGTCATGCGCCGTCTGAGCCGCACCGCCACTAAAACTTACTACATCATCAACATTCTTTGGACCCTGAGCTTATATTTTAATATTAGTCTCGAAGCGCCGACGGCCCTTTTTCTCTCACTCTCCTCCCCTTCCTCTTTCCAAGCATCAGCCTGTGATAATACAAACGCTGACGAGCAGCGCCGCGAATCTAATACCATGCGAGGCGGCGCCATGACCAGCAGGCCGTTGAGCCGATTAAGATCCTCGGCTTCTTGTGCCAGGAGTCGGCAATTTTCCAGGTCGTTTTGGGTGCAGTCGGCTCAACGGGTGATCGTGCGAGCAGCATGGAATGGCGGATTGAGAACGAACCAGACGGTATATCGACCGTTCCCATCGGCGGCGAGGGCTCTGGCGACCGTTTCGGACCGTCCGATAGGCGGCTTGGGTCCGTTGGAGGAATATGACAGACGGGTGGATGCTGGCATTTTGCGGAACGACGAGCATCAAAGAGGTGAGTGGGCTTGCCTGAGCGATTCTATGATCGCGAAGACAATATCCGGTGACTGCAGTTGAACTGACTGACGTATGTATAGGCATCATCGAGAGCTTGCAGCATCTTCACAATGAGCTCCGCAACTATCACGCACCGCCCGTCGTCCACCCGAGCCTTGATCTCCTCAAGCCGGCGAAGAAGTCTGTCTTCTCATCACTCTTTGGTAACGGAGGCGCCGCAAAGGCTACGATAAAAGACATCCCGGAGAATCTACCCCGAGGGCTGTACCTGTTTGGCGACGTGGGCAGCGGCAAGACAATGCTCATGGACCTATTCTACGACACTCTGCCCCCCTCGGTGAAGACTAAGACGAGGATACACTTTCACAACTTCATGCAGGATGTTCACAAACGGCTACACAAATTAAAGATACAGCATGGCAGCGATGTTGATGCTGTGCCGTTTGTCGCGGCGGATATTGCAGAGCAGGGCAATGTGCTTTGTTTTGACGAGTTCCAATGTACCGACGTGGCGGACGCTATGATTCTACGGAGGTAAGTCTTTCTTTTCTGAGTAAAATACCATTTACCTTCCGCCACAGTCGCATAGAGTTGTAGCATAAAAGGCTAACTGAGTAATAAGGCTGCTAGAATGTCTCATGTCTCACGGCGTGGTCCTGGTAACGACATCGAACCGTCACCCAGACGACTTATACAAAAACGGAATCCAGCGAGAGTCATTTATCCCAGCAATCAAGCTGCTCAAGAACCGTCTACATGTCATCAACCTCGACTCACCAACAGACTATCGCAAGATCCCTCGACCGCCGTCGGGTGTCTATCACACCGCGCTAGATCAGCACGCCGAGTCTCACGCCGAGAAATGGTTCCGCTTCCTGGGCGACTCGGAGAACTTTGCGCCGCGATCCGAGACACAGAAAGTCTGGGGACGAGAAATCTTTGTCCCGCGCGTCAGCGGGCGGTGCGCGTGGTTCACATTCGACGAGCTCATCAAGAAGCCCAAGTCGGCGGCCGACTACCTCGAGCTGGTGCGCAAGTACGACGCCTTCATCGTGACGGAAGTGCCTGGCATGACGATTCGCGAACGAGATCTCGCCCGCCGCTTCATTACCTTTATTGATGCCGTCTACGAGGGCAACGCCAAGCTCGTCCTTACGACAGAGAAGCCGCTTGGCGAACTGTTTGTCTCGCGCGACGAGGTTGCCGAGACGCTGCTCCAGGCAAACCCGTCCCACGCGGCACCCACTAAGGACACCACGCAGAGCGTGATGGAGAATCTAGGGGAGAGCGTCGAGAAGCTCAAGAATTCCAATCTCTTTGCCGGCGAGGAAGAGGCTTTTGCGTTTGCCAGAGCGCTGAGTCGGCTGAGTCACATGGAGAGCAAGGAGTGGGTCGAGAAAGGCCTTGGGCTGGAGAACAAGGGCGGTAAGGAAGATAAAGATAGCTGGACGAAGACGAGAAGTCGACAGATGGAGGACTCGATGTGAATTTTTTTTAAGGGAGCCAGGAAGAGGGGGGAACAAAAAAAAGAGAGATGGTTTACGGATATGAGAGATGGTACTTGTATTATTTGGTTCGCTCACTGCTGCTCTGTTTTTCCAATACCCAGAGCGTTTTCTTTTTGTCTAGATGTCGTTTTTTTTTTTTGACTAGATGCAAGGGATGGGAGGACATGACTGTCCAGGGGCGCGTTTGTTCTTATACATGTATGTACATTATACGCGCCGAGATATCTATAGATAGAGTAGAAAGAGAGAGAGAGAGAAAGGGATATGAGAATTTATGACGATTTACAGCCTGCCTATATCATAATTACTGTGATGATGATGATGGATTTAGCCGTCTGTGAGTATAGTAATGAAGCCCCTTTTTAGGCTTTATCTTCCAGGAGAAAGAAAAAAAAAGTTTCTTTTTTCGGTAAATCTTAGAAAACAAAAAAAAAAAAAAATACTATTCCGCTTGGAAGCAATAGTTTGCGGTGCTCCTTTCTGTTGAGCTAACTGAGCCCGGGGATAAATAGTCTGCGGTTGGGTTATATGGCAGGCTCTTCCCCCCTTTATCAAGGCTTTTTTTGACGGCTTCACACCATCTTTTCTCTCTGTGGCGATATTACTGGGCTTTACTAGAATGGATCATTATTACCTTACGTGGATGTACTGCCCGTGAGCGAGAGAAGGCCGCCACACCATGACTGAGTAGCGAATAGAGGTCCTATTACAAGTACTCTTGAGCAAAGGTACAGGTGGTCGTGGGTAGAGAAGCAACTGCTTCCCCTTGCTCTGAGACACAGCTAAGAATCACACAAATTTCCCTTTTCCTATGGGAGGCCGTTGGATCCTTAATTGGAGGGAGGGAGGGAGTCTGGTGCGAGTCGTCAAACGAGAGCAGTCCTGGAGGCATTCACAGCTGATCGGAACCCTGCTAGCATCCTGCAGTCGCACAGACAAGCCGGCGCGAGCTTTTCGGGCCCATGCTCTCCGCGATTTAAGCACGGTCAAGACTTGTAAGCAAGCTTCTTTGGGATTGCACGGTCCATCTCTGCTCGTCCGATCTGGCCCCGCTGGACGAGAGGCCGCAGAAACAAAACCCTTGAGAAACGAGATTGGTGGGAGGGCCGACGGACACTGCACGCCTGTAGATGCTATGCTACAGTATGCAGAATTGGTGAATACCCCGGCGGGCCTTTTCTTTCTTTATCGGCAGTAGCACTGCTTGTAGATTTCTAGCCGCTGCAGTGCAGAGAGGAAATGCCCACTTCGGGAATCGCGTGGAGTTCAGCCCAAACGTTCTATGAGCTTCTCTTCTCGTCGCGGAGATTTCCTCTTTTTGAAATGGCGGCCCGGAAGGAGCCTTTTTTAAAAATACTATTTTAATTTTTAAAAATTGGCCCTCATTGCTACTCTGCGAGCTCGCCGGGATTGGCAGGGCCCTGTACAATGACGCTGAGAAAAGGTGAAAATATCACCAGTTTGCATTGCCAAGACCCAAGGGGGCTGTTTCATGACCCCTGGCTAGTCGACGGACTGCTGTGGGTAGCGTGTCTACTTTGTATATACGAAGCGGTTATGGTACATAACGATTGAAGCTACCGACGCGAAGACGAGACTACTATTGGCGGGCGTTTTTGGCGCAAATGAGGTCCCTGTAGGGATAAGTTGGAAATAAAACAAAATGGTTTTAAGAGGTCTCGGGGAGCTGAGCTGCACGCATGTTTGGGGGCCGTATTTCATTTGTCTTGAGGGAGATGCCGGATAAACGCGACGACGGGGATTTCCAAAATTCGTATAGGCGTGGCATCATCGGGTTAGTGCTTGTGCTCGTGCGTGCGGCTAATGTGTGTGGCACGTAACCTCAGAGTCACTAGCTGTCAGGCGGATCCGAGGAGGAGGTGAGAGGAGAGGAGCTCTGTGATACCGCGCGACACGAATATAGAGGGACGTTCGCGCCTCAAAGGATATCGATGTGCCCATTGTTCGGCGCTGAGTGTACCGCAGCCCAGCCAGCTGGTATACGCCATTGGTCGTATGCACATAGTTAAAATCATAAGCGCTGACGACGCTGTCGATGCCACGATGCTGATCCGATGGTTCCGTCGAGGATGAGGGCGGGATATTGGAAGGGGAAATTAGCCAGGGACGAAAGGGCCATCGTATCGATAGTAGCAGCTAGCAGCAGCGCAGTAACACGATTTTTGGATGCTAGCGCGCCTTGTCCTAAAAAAAAAAAAGAGAGAGCCGCCTTACCCTTAACAGCAATGGCCTGCTAGCTTGCTGCTGTTGTTTTGATTTCCCTCGCAGTGGCAGCCAGACCAGGCCAAGCCAGACAAGGATCCAAAGGTGACGAAGCTAAAAAAGAGCTCGCAGCAGCGCCTCGCACGGGCCAATGACCGCATCCTCTTTGGGCGTCGCTGGAGACGGTTCCTGGATTAGCGCCTCCCTCCCGCGAGGCCCAGCAGCCAATGGCAGCGCCCGTGTCCCTGGCGCCGTGGCCGCTGGAGCCCCTCTTCCTGGCTGCGGATCCTTGGAGCTGCTGTTCTGCGCTGGAGACTGGTGGCTTGTTTGGTCGACCGCGGCGCTGATCCTCATATTGCGTGCAGCACTTTTGGGTGCGACTTGGTGCTGTCTCGTCGCTGGAGGGAGGGGATTGGACTGGACAGGCGCCAATTGCGCGCTGCTTGGGGCCATTGGTGCCCAGCCAGTGGTAGCTGTAGCTCTAGCAGCCAGTAGCGGTCCTGGCTAGCAGTAGGGCTGGGCGTGGCGATGCACCGGCCGTTGGGAATAGCATCTTCGTCACGCTGCTAACGTGCACCGAACAGGTGTTCGACTCAACCTGCTAGGCACTCACTGTACATGGACTGCATGTAGCTGATGACGGGCACTCCACCGCCTAATGTTGCTGTGCCTCAAGCTAGCACCGGTGGCTGCAGCTCGCTCTGCTGCGCAGCCAGAGCGCGAGCTGTTGGGCGCTTGGCCAGGCAAGACAGACTCAGAGCCCATCCCTGTCTCGCAGCGAGTGCCAGGCTCCTGCAGGTACCGCTAGCTCGCAGCCCCAGCTCCTCACCTCATCCGCCAGGCACCTGGACTAGGGCCGCGTTCCCCGGTATCCTCTCTCGCTCGCTTCTTTTCGCCTCTTCCCTCCTCTCTTCCTCACCACCGCCGTCCATCGTGCGCTGCCTCACTGAAAAACGACAACATCGTCGCCTGCCAGAGCGATCGTTGGAGTCGGGACATCTGCGCCAGGCCAACCGCTGCGCTTCGGTCCGTCCATTCATTCATTCGTTGATTTGCTCACTCATTTTGCGCACTCCTTCATTCTTTTGAAAAAAGAGTCACCGCCGACACCCGACCATCGCTTCTGATATTGCGCGCATTCTTCGAGTGCCTTATTCGCTCCCTCACGTGTTTTTTACGCACTTTGCTATTTTCATCACCATTTATCTGGAACATTTTAAAGTGCCACGGCCTGGTATTTCTCGAATCTAGCTGCGCCGTCTTCTTTTTTGTGTCCCAGCACCAAGAAAAGAAAGAAGTTTGAGACATTTGACGCTCCCCGCCGTCAACGGAAACGCTCCTAGACTCAATAGTCATCTCATTCTTTCTCCCTCCATTACTACAATCTTCATTCCAGCCGGAGACTTCCCCAGCCTCTTTGACTGTGGAACTCAACTGCCAATATATTCCGAGGCCCAAGCGACGCATCGCAGCTTTCGTTGCTCTGTAACGTCAAGTTTTTTTTTTCGTTTCTCTCACCTCGATACTTTGGAATCCACTTCGGCTGTGTGTCACTTCACACTTTCGACAAGATGCCCATCTCACATCGGCACCTCCACCGCCACCATCGTCGAGATATTCTCGACGACATTGACGACATTGTCCATGGAAAGAACCCCTTTGACGATGGTGACGATGGTGATAATGACAGTAAGGGAAATGGAGGTAGCGACAAGAGCTCAGATAGCAAAGGTATTTGCTGCATCGGCCTGGATGGCAAAAGGGTCGTCTATAGCTATAGGTCCACATACTAACTCTCTTCTAGATCAAGCCACTGTAGTTCAAGTTGTCTACAAGACCATGTCAGCAACCTTTTCCGGCCCCATTGGCGGCTATGTGACTGTGCATCAAGGCCAAAGCCCTCCGACAGTGGCTCCCAAGCCCTCCCCGAAGCCTGATGCGCAATCCAAGGAATCACCAAAGGAGACGCCAACACCAGCAAAGGAGACGCCAAAGGAGACGCCAAAGAACACTCCCAGTCAGCAGGAACAGACACCCCACGCACAAAAGACAAGCTCCGCTGAGCCGACTGCCATTCGCCCTCCTCAGCAAACACAATCCGAGTCCGAAACAGCCCTTGCCAAGGCTACGGGAACACCATCACCAACGCAGTTGGCCCTTGACGGTAACCGAGCTCACTCGGGCGCTGCCACCCCCACCATTGATGCGGCATCAACATCTTCGACCCCCAGCAGTGTCAGTGCGGCCAGCTCTGGCACGAGTGCTGGAGCCAAGGCTGGAATTGCCATAGGAGTGCTCGGTGGCGTGTTCGTCATAGGACTGCTCGTCTTCTTCCTCGTCAGCCGCCGCAGAAAGCAAGCTCAGGCCGAGCAGCTTATGGATGACAACGAAAAGGTTCAACCAGCACCTCCACCACCGGTCCAGCCGCGGGCTATTACCCCAGTCATTGCAGTGTCGCCACCAGTGTCACCACCAATGTCTCCAGCCATGTCCCCGGAACCCATTGACGACATGCCTGTCCGAACAAACCCGAATGCGCCACGCATTAGCCTCAGGCCCGTGACCCAATTCCTGCCCAACTGGAATCTCGAGAAGCAAGCTGCGGCGGCTGCTGCTGCTGGCGGTGTTGTTGGTGTCGCCGTTACTGGCGATGGCTCAGACCGTCCCAACACCAGCCAGAGTGATCACCCTGCTAACCCATTCGGTCAACAAGCCGAGCGTGTTCCCTCCCCTATTCACGAAGATGCAACCGTTTTCACCCCTTATACGCCATCTGAGATGTCTGTGAGCGACAGTGCGTCAATCTCTGAGATTCCGCATGCTGAAGAGGCTGTTGCTGCCACTGCCGTTGCTGCTTCTGCCGTTGCTGCCGGTGCGGCTGGTGCTGTTGCCGGAGCCGCAACGCTGGCTCGCAAGCAATCGATGCGAAACCGCAACCCTAACAATGTTGATCTAACTGTCAATACGCTTGCCACTGTCCCTCCAAGCCCTGCCGTCACCGACTTTAGCGTGTCGTCACCCGCTGCTGGTTCTGTGCCTACGCCTCAGCCATCTCAGAGCGCTGCTGCTATCGCTGCTGCAGGCGGCCCTGCCAACTCTACCGTTCACCGGGTGCAGCTTGACTTCAAGCCTACACTCGATGATGAGCTGGAACTGAAAGCTGGTGATTTAATACGACTTCTTCACGAGTATGACGACGGATGGGTGAGTACTTGAATCCTAATGATAACCAAAATTTCAACATAGTTTACTGGTGACATCTGCTAACCGTATGGAAACAATAGGCGCTTGTCATCCGCATGGATAGATCTCAACAAGGTGTTGTTCCTCGCACATGCTTGTCTACGCGAGCAGTTAAGCCTCGACCTCCCCAGGGACCCCCTCCCGGCAACCCAGCTGGCCCTCCAAGGGGTGTCAACTCTCCTACCGGCCAGCGACCAATGACTCCTCAAAGCCAGCGCCCCATGACACCGCAAGGCAAGTTCCCTCCTAACGGTGCTCCGAGAATGGGACCTGGCCCTGGATCTCGTCCTGCCTCACCCGCCGGTTCAATGATGAACCGCAATGGCGCAGGTCGACCTCAGTCCCCAATGGGTCGTCCAATGAGCCCCGGACCCAAGTACCAGGGACCTCCCACCAGCCGACCTCAAAGCCCCAGTGTGATGAGCCAACAACAAAACAGCCCTACTGGGTCTAGCCCATTGAACCCAAATTCAAACCCAACATCGCCAACGGGCCCACCGGCGGGACCAGCAGCTAGTCCCATCGAGAGGAAACCGGTTCCCGGCCAGGCCTACTAATGTAGCTCCTGATGCTGAGTCGCGATTCCTTTTTCGATTAAGCATACTGGCCTTGTGCGCGCAAAAAAAAAAAAAACTAAGCCACATCTGGGTACTAGAAAGGGGACTGGGCGTTTTTGAGAGGTATCCATGAACAAGATAAGGCTCTTTGGCGTAAGCCCGAGACCGTATCTGACAATTGAGGATGTGAGCCATTGATTTACCATTGATTCACTCCTCTCTTGCCTTGTTTATTTTTGTCTTTGTCTTGATGTTTACTCCTCCTTCACTTCTTCTTGCCGCCATGTCGAGCATTTTCCTTTCCTTTTTTTTTTTTTCATATATAAAGCTGATGCCAGCATCTTACATTTAACTTGTGTATATATCATTCACATACGAAAAGGCATTGGCCTCGCTGTACCTGACTGTACTTTGACTTGGTGCTGCGACAGTTGATAAGAGACTATCCAATCTAGGCTTGAATAGGCATTCATGAATTCTGTTCCGAGCAAGATGTGGTGGGACTGGGCCAATGCTTGATTTGTACTTTATTTCATTTCTTTTTAACCCCCCTTTTTTACCTTATTATCCCACGGTATGTGATGGAACTGCGACTGAAGGAATGCGAAGCTGGTTGGCAACGAAGAAAACGTTGGACGGCAGCCGCATCTTTCAAGGTTACGACGATAGGAAGAGTTTGCATGTCCCGTTAGGAGAATGAGACGTTTATGGAACGAATATGTGTTAGCCAGGTATATAAATCTATATAGTCACGGATATGAAGATCAGATTTAAGATTCACGACGAGGCTCCCCTGCAGTTTTGTGCATGATGTGTAGGTGTAATATGTGTTGGTTCCTACAGGATATTGACTGTGCATGAACTGCTGATTTTGATACTAGCTGGATCAAGTATAAACTAAATGATGCTACTGCCTGCTGTTTGCTAAAGGAGGCAGTGTTATATACGTGAAGGAATGACTGATCGATTTCCATACGCATTGTGGCCGGTAACAAGGAATATTACGGCCATCACCAACAGTGATGCCAGCAGCCATGTTGTTGTTGATAGCTTTTTCAGTACCCCCCTCCGGAATAAAGGAGGTCCGTGGAGCGTTGGTGCATGGGAAAGTGCGGTCCAGCCAACTCTGTCACACCTCTATATTCTTTCCACTGATATCCAGGCTCGCTTCTTCTGATACAATGAATAGCCTGTATTCGCCTATGCTGAGGCTTTGTTGATGACATGTCCGGAAGCAAAAAAAAAAAAAAAAGACAAAATTAGTCGAGGGCTCTTTGGATGCACGTGTTCTCTCTTCATTTCTCTCCTTTACTATTTATCCATCAGATTGATGTTGGTCCGATATCAAACTTTGATTTGATGGAGCTATTCAGCCGTACGTACGTCCAACGATTTTGTGTATAACTGAAAACCTTCATTTCATGAGAAGGAAAAGGAAGCGAAAAGAAGCCGGCTACTATTACCAACACCAACCTATTGTTGTGCCTCGTTCGAATAGGAGCCAACAAACGCATCAATTCTAGATCAAGGGGGTTCGAATAGGCTGGTCTGATTGTCATCTGCCTTTTATCCTGTCTGTCGGACAGCTGCCAGTCAGATCGGTTTACTTTTGTCTCGGATCGTTTCTCCCCACTTTGAACTTGCATTTTTCTTCATCCTTTTCTCTTTCTTTCTCTTTTTATGCTGCCGCTGCCTACCCCTACTGGTGAATATATATCAGATATTCACCTTATGGCAAACGAGCACATTTATTCTGTGAGGATAACGTCAGATCGACCAACAGCTCACCATGTGGCCTCAGCTCACCAACCTTCTCCTCCTAATTCTCGCCGCACCGAGTCTGGCAGCTCCTTACCGCGGTCTGCCCACCATTCCCTTCATCATCCCAGGGGGGCATCCACCAGATCGAGTTATTCCAACGAGCACGGCTCCAGAAGCGATCCCAACTTCTGTCGTGCCTCTCCCGGGCTTCAACCATCTCGCGCAGAACAAGACGCAGGCCGTTACCAAGAGCCCCGATAGCAGTGACGCTTTCTCGGGCACGTGCGTGCAGGTCACGCTCGGCGGCCACGGGAAAATCGGCATGACGACGCTGGAGGGACGATGTGTTGACGATGCGGGCATGTGGTGGGATACGAGCCTGAATCTGAACTCGTGTGTTGGCAATGTTGGAGGTCGTTTGGTGTATGAGGAAAAGTAAGTGAAAACTTGGCCCGAGTTGCTATATGGGGAAAAAAAAGTCTTTTACTGATGGCGTGGAAATCTCGATTATAGCGGTGGCTTTGATGCTACTTGCAGACCATGCACGCTGGACTACATTCACGACTCGGGCAGCGTGCTTCTCAAATGCAACTGTCTGGATCAAGTGAGGTTTCCCAGGTACACTGCTTTAGAGATGGGACCTGGTGGTAAGATTGCACTTTCATGGATTTAATAAAAAGATGGAGTATTAGCTGACAATGGCGTGGCAGTTTCGAATCTATTCGCAGTCAGGCCAGTTAACGGGCGACTCATTTGCGGCAACCATGTGGGAATGCAAAGCCCGACTTTTTTTGCTTAGTTACCATCTCGATTGTACTCTGATGAGATGCGAAATGAGAGTGAGAATTGGGGGAGTAAGTTGTGGGAGGGTTTGACGACAACTTTCAACGTACATATGAAAAGTATGGAAACGACTGAGAAAGAAAAACAAGATCTGGGAGTGAGCTTATATAAAGTGAAGGCGCATATTTGGAGCATACAGATTAAATCAAATTTCTTTTCTTTCACACCAGATTATGAAAAGTTCTGTCTAAACAAGGTATTGACTTTGAGCCCGATCCCAAGCTCCAAAGTATGGACACCACGCTCATTATTTCCAAGCCAATTTAGCAATCATATGCTCCCCCGAGCCATTCACCCCCCGTCTGCTGCTCGAATAGAAACAAGAGTAATCAATCCCCAGCCTATCCAGCTCAGATGACAAACTTGCCGCCACAACCACCACACACTTCCCCCTGTGAATCCCCCACTGCGTCTACGCTTCCGAGGTACTCCTCCGCCAGTTTCTCCAGCTCAGATACCTTGAGGCAGCGCATCTTGCAGACGCCGCACACGCGGGAGATGCCTGGTGCTAGGATAGGGATGCCGGATGTAGCGCATATGGCTATTTCGAAGCGTTAGTCAAGAATCATGGAAAGGGGTTAAAAAAAAGGAAAGAGGAAAGAGGAGAGATGTAAGGATTGCTTTCGTACCAAATGCGTGTCGATTCTCACAGGTAGCTACGTCGTCCTTAACTGACAGCTGAGTGCTACAGAATACACATGGCAGTCTCACCACCACGTCTTTGAACAGCTGTCTTAATGGGCTACTTTGTAGTCTGGCAGTGGATGTTTTCTGTCCGGGAGTCACGCCGGGCACGTCTTCTCCCATGCCATACATCCACTCCCACACTCGACCTTCAGTCGTGAGTGGCTTGGAGATTTTTCTGATACGCTGAGGCTTGTCATCTGTATCGGCGGGCACTTGCCAGTCAAAGTGTACGTTTGAGATGCCCCGGCGATCAGGATGCTGGGTGTCGTGCTTTGACGCGAGCACGGCAGTGCATCCGTCGCCCGGGGACTTGGCTAGGCCCCAGAGGCGAAACCGGTAAGGGTGGACCTGCAATACGGGCTCGGCTGGCGCTGGAGGTGCCTCTTGCATCGTCCTATCGTCTCCGTTTTCAGAGTCTGACTCGAAATCCGAGTCTACGCCGTATAGCGCGGCAGATCGAGAGACGAGACGGGCGTGTTGATCCCCTATATCTTCCACCCACTGTGGCAGATTTCCTTCCGGCAGGTTTGTCTGATACCAATCAAGGTTCGTAGAGGTGGCGGATAACCTGATCAATGAATAGTATGGGACTGGAGGCTTGTTTTCAGGATCCGGATCGTGAACAACGAGTCCTAGCATTGAAAATAAGAACAAGGTCACCGTATATGTAGCAGCCATATGGAACTCACCTGTGATGGGATTTGTCGATGGTTCATCTGATTCAGGATATGCTGAGGCACACTCCCAGACAGAGTGTGGAGGTGCCGGCTCAGCCAAAGGACCATTGAGCACGACTTGAAAAGGCTTAACAGCAAACGGAGTCGATACAATACCCCGAGAAATATGAGAGTCTCCTTCAGTCCATATCTGCTATTCCATTAGCGCTAAATTTCCTTGAGCTGCACACCTATAACCGCAATCGCCACTTACTGCATCCTCCCACTCAACCAAGGCGTCACTGGAGAGGGACAGGCATATGCCGGTGGTGTCGCTTTTCTCAGATACCACATCGGGAAGATGACCCCTTTCCCAGTCGCCATATAGTATGATTCTCCGGAAGCCAACATGATTCTTGGCAATATATGCAATAGTTGCCGTCCTGTACCCATCTTCGATGAGCCAGGGACTCCATTTTATAGAAAATGCGCTGCCTTGAGGGGTGAAATCTGGGTCGTGTGGATCTGACGCCTAAGAGAGAGTGAGTGGACAGTGCAGAAAGTGAAGCTGGAAAGTAGACGAGGGGAACATCAGCTCACCTCCTTATGAGGACCGCTACCGTCGATTCTAACGTGCTGCGTCAACGTCCAAATCCATTCTTTCTCGGAACCACGCTTTGAAGTGTCTCGTCGCAGGTGATACTGAACACTCATGACGATAATCTGCCCCGAGTCATTCATGTAGGCCAACAAGGCCCTTCCTGGCGCAATCTCCCCGGCCCATGAGAAAGACACGATGCGCTCGTCCATGGTCCGATAGCCGTCTTTGGACTCGGAATCGGGTATGGGCAGCTTGGCACCCAAACCCCATAGCATCCGCCAGTTCTTAAACGTCCGCGTTCTCATGCTCGATGTGGCAGTTGACTGGCTATCAGCCTGCTCTCCAAACGTGATCAAGTTTCCGGTAGTTGTCAAGGCCATCAGCACCGGCCGCGAGTTGCAGCCCAATCCGCTTGGCGACCATTCTACCCTGATGACCTGTCCCAGAGCCGCTCCAGACCCAGTGACTGCGCCGTTGCCAACGCCTCTAAAGTTGCCCTCCTCGCCGGTTTTGGGAGCTGGTAGTTTGACACCAGCCTGGGCACATAGCTGGCCATTGATCCTGGTGTTGGGGTTTATGACGGAGGATGGCTGGAGAGACAATGCAAATTGATACTGAGAGGCATCTCGCTCATCAGCATCGGCATCGTGGCCGCCCAGAAAGTCGGGCAAGAATATGTAAATGGATTCTTGCGTTGCAATAGCGAGCTCGGCATCGCATGACCAGGCAAGGGCATGCGGTGAGGGCGGACGAGAAGTGAGAGATAGCGTCTGAAGGGGACGTGCCTAAGCCGATTGAATGTCGAGATTAGTAGTCGAGAAGCTGAGTTTATGAGCAACAAGGCATGGCAAAATAGTAAGGAGGATGGATCACTTGTGAAATTGCAAAATTTAGAAAGGCAGCTGAACAGAAGCACTAGAGCCTGGTTTTTATACGCACTATACAAGCAAATAGACAAATTTCTGGTAAAAAAAAAATAACTGAAGAGAAAAAGATAGAAATGCCAAAAGCCACGTCTTGAGGTGGTGTCTGGCATGGGTATGATGCAAAAACTTGGTGTAAAAGCTGCAGTCAACTCACCCTAAATCGGTCCATGTTATGGAGGGCTGGGTGAGGCCAACTTCGTCGAAACGCGCGCAGATTCAATCAGATTCATTGGCGTATTTCGCATCCGCCTGCGAAAATGCCTCTTTTTCTTTGGACACGCCGGGGAGATGAAAAATTTCATCAACAAGGTTTGCTTCGAAGAGCGGAAGAAAGCTACACGGTCGAATACGTAGTTTACTGCTGACTAAGGCAAGATTTTCAGCTACATAGCTCGCCGTGCTGTGAAAATTCTATGGACTTGATGGTGTTTTATGTCTACATGTAGGCATTGCGTATAAATCTATGGCAGTATTTCTAATGAATTTTGCTTTAATATATTCTTCCAGGATCAAGCAGTCCATTCCGCGCATATCACAGCAAGAAACGCGCCTTACAAAAGCTAACTCAACAGTGGTCATTCCGCAAACAGCATTACAAACAGCATGAACTGTGTTGAAATCATAGTAAACAAGGTCTCGTTCGTCTTTGGAACAAAAAAAAAAAAATCATAATATGGGCTTAAATCAAATGCATGATAACGAAAACGGTGAATCAAAGTGCTGCTGCAACTCATGCTTCCAAAAAGCTACCAACCCCCCATAATAGTGCACATCCAGCAAGTGCCGTAGCTCCAATGATCTTCTTCGTCCACCAGTCGTCTTCAGTAAGAGCCTTAGCCCCCTGGATCTTCCTCGGCGGCGCGGTAGGAACGCTCGCAGGAATGGACGATACATTGTGGTAGGCGGCATCTTCTTCGGCCTCCTTTCTCCGCAGCATGGCAATAGTCTTGCTGAGCTCGACCAATTCTTCTTCCAGAGCCAGGTCCTTGGCCCTGTCAACCTCGACGTTTTGGATATTGCCAAAGAAGTCGGTGATCAAGCGACTGCGCGCAGCTTCTTCTCCGCCAGGGAAGAGGTCGTAGTGGACTCCGGCGGTTGAGTGGATCTTGTCAAATTCATAGCTGTCAAACAGTTCGCCAATGGTCTTCTTGCTGCTCAAGTCTTGGACATGAGCTTCGAGGAATTCCAAGTTGTAGTAAGTGTATCGGTCAATGACAGCAACACCGACGTCATTATCGGCGTGATGAGAGTAGGAAGATTCGTCGAGCTCAGATGATCCCGTAGCAATGATGTTGGGAGAGTATAGTCTGCTGTACATGGTGTTTGCTTGGCAAGTATCGATCATAAAGAGGATTTCATGGTATCTATATGTGACGAACTGGTTAGACTCACCCCACCGGCTTCAAAAAGGACAAATACGCACCTCTTCTTCTCCCACATCTGTTCAAAGGCATCAGCAAGATCGAACGCGCCAATCTCTTCCGCGTCTTGGAACTTGAGAAATTCGTTTCCACCATGTCCGGTCATGTATACAAAGATGTTGCTTCGGTCGTCGGTCAAGAGTCGCTTGCTTCGGGGGGTCTCGTCGCCGACACGATCGGTTAGGAGTCGGATGAAGTTTTCAACGGTGACCTCGTATCCACGATAGTCAACCTCAATGTTGTCGCCATACAGGTCCACGGCCCGGTCTGAGTTGCTGTAGACGGTGCCTGGGAACGCATTTCGTGGATTGCAGGCCATATCGTCGGGCAGCATGAGGATGATTTGGGAATCGGGGATGCCCAGGCGCTTGACGGTTCGGTACATGGACAGGACATTGGCGAGATGGCGGTAGTTGAACCAGAATCGCGATGTGCAGACCAGGACGGCCCAGTTGCTCGTGTGCTCAGCGACAGCGGTTGTCGCGAGAAGCACCGAGGCCACGATGGCCTGGAGAGGGAGGCCGGAGAGCTTCATCGCCGCCCAGTGACAATGAAGAAAGAATAGAAGGCCGAAGTTGAAGACGACTTGATAGATATTAGCTTGGTATTAGTGTTAGCGACAGCTGTGGCTTCGATGCCATAGCAATGCCGCTGCAAGTCGCGATGGTGGGTAGTTTGAGGTTGTTTGGCTAATGAGCTCCAGTATGTGGTCAGTCCTGCTGGCTTACAAATTTGGACCCCCTTTTGCGTTTCAGGCACTGGCAGCAGGTAGTGAGTACGTGCTGGAACATGCCAAATCTCGCGTTGGCTCTAGTACCTCTCTAGCAGCTCTTAGTACGCTATAGAGGGCAGACCAGTCTCCAAATGGCCGTCGCGGGGCGTGTGGGGAGCAGAAAGAGGGGTGCATCTTGAAGAAAGGAAGTACCCGTAGCTAGCGGCCGCTAAACGCATGTGACAGGCGGTTGAAGGCACGAATCTGGAGAAAATTGGGGGATGGAGAGAGTGATTACTGGGATCTGAGATACTCGGGGCCCCTAACAGTTTGTCAATGAAGAGAATCCAGATTGTATGTGCTTCTCAATGGTGCTGCGGATCAAGATGCTTGAAATAATCGCTTCTATAGCACAACAGTCAGTACATATTCAAGCGTCTTACACCTTGCAGAGCGGGCAACATACAGTATGGTAGCATCAGCTCACTGTGGCTGTTTGGGGCGACTTGTGCGGAGAATGGAGTAAGACTTGGGGTAACAGAGAAATCCGAAGCATCTACATGGCGATACTAGTATATTACGTTTGTAGCAGCGGTGAGCAAATGGTGTAGAGAAAAGACCATCTTGTCTGTGAATCATAACTCCGAGTCTTTCCCTTCTTCATGCAAGGTTGCAAATTCATATTACAAGGTAGTACCAAATAGAAAAAAGAGGTTGGAGACGAGGCAGCCGAAACGATTACGTATCCATTGTGTTTCTCCCCGCGCTTCGATTTGACAGCCTTGATCGACGTTTAGGTTATGGTGTAGTAAAAATGCATGCAATCACAAGCTACAGTTGAGAGAGGGGAGATTGACAGAGGTTGGGTGACAGAAACGGAGGGAGTGTTAAATAAATACATGCATATAAAACTATAAGATTAGCACTTTTTACAGCAGATTTCCCCTAATAATGTATGTGTATATTATTGCCTTATAGGTTCAAATTCTCGCATTCCTTGTTTTTCTGTCCCTCGGCTCGACGCTACTATGCATGCCACCAACCAGGGTCTCATGCGCCCCACGTGCCCAATGACGAAACAGCTTACAAAAAGACCAAGGGAAAAAAAAAAAAAAAAAAAAAAAAAAAAAGAGCAGAGTGAAGCAAGAACAAAAAAAAATCCTCCCCTCGTCACATAGATGCTGGAGATGCTCAAAGCGGCAGTTTGTTTAATTAGCCATGACAGGCGTTAAGATTAACGATTAATTTTAGCATGGCATAAGCGACTACGTAATCGCCTCACCGTTTTCTCGTGCAGCTTCTCTGTAAACCTGTTTCAATTGCCCACCCAAGCATTATAGTTCTCAACACGTCTCAACACGTGAAAGCAGAGCGCTGTATCCGCCGGGACCGCCAGAGCCTTAGTGGACACATGAGCCACTACCGTCCATGTGCCCAGCACCCGCCGCCGCCATAACCCGCCGACTCAGCTCTCCTTCAGCTCTCAGCCATCAGTCGCACCTCCATTCCTATCGAACCACCGTCTGTCGATTTGGATTCCAGGGGCAAACAGCGTTTGTTCGCATTCGCATACGGCCTCGCGCCTCTCAGCCCTGCAGCGCCTCATCCCTCCTCCGTCCAGCTGATCAAACCCCGCTGCATTCCCTGTTCTCCAAGCTGGGGTGCTACAGTATTCGCCCCCCTCATGCGGAGAACGCTCTCTCTGGTCCCTGCGACTCTGTGAACGGCCCGGAAGACACGTCAGATCGACCGCCTGCTCTATAAAATCTGCAGAAAACCACCATAGATTGCTATTTTGTTATTCCCAGGCTGCTCTCCCTTCTCATTCTAGCGTCTCGTAGCTGTATCAGGACATCTTGGCTCGCCAGCAGCCGTCTTGATTATACAAGCAACTCAACACACGACCAAGTATATTACCAGCCACACATACCAGATCTCGCAGCCCAACCATGGGCCGGCTACCGTCACACATTTTCATTGTAAGGTACGAAGCAGCAGAAGGGCACATGTTTTGCCATCTGGCTGGCCAATCATCACTGACTGTGTGGACGTCTTAGACATGGCAACCGACTCGATGCCGCCGACAAGCAATGGCACCTCACGTCGCCAACCCCTTACGATACCCCCCTGACCTACGGCGGCTTTCTGCAGGCCAGGCAGGTGGGCAACCAGATTGGGAGCATTCTAGAGCAAGCCAAAGTCGACGCTGAGGTGACCAAAAACGGCGCTGGGCTGAGCGGGAAGCGCAGACGGTTCAGAGTGGTCATCCACAGTTCGCCGTTCTTGCGATGCATCCAGACGTCGATAGGAATCACCTCAGGCCTTGCGCAGTTGGCGCCCGAATCCATATACCAGCCATCCGATGTCATCATTCCGCGAAAGGCGCCAATCGGCCAGCAGAGCCCGCACAAGTCCGCCTTGCTCCGGCTGGATACGTTCCTGGGAGAGTGGCTCACGCCAGAGTACTTTGAGATGATCACACCACCTCCCGGAGCAGCTCTGATGATGGCCAGTGCAAAGTCAGAGCTTCTACGGCGCGAAGATTACAGCATGTACACAAGCGCTCCGGTCTCTGCTAACAGTCGTCCGGCGTCGAAAGGCGCTCTCTGGAGCTCGCCTGTCTCTACTCTGCAGCCGCCTGCTTCACCTACATTGGAAAGAGGCGGCGTTTTTGCCCCGTCGGCCATGGCCGCCGCGCTGTCCTCCGCGTCGCAGGAGCAGAAGAAAGGCTATGCCCCCCCTCGACCGCTGCATGCCATTTCGAGTAACGGAAAGATTCCGGATGGATTCGTCGCTCATGCCAGAGACTCGTGCGCTGTGATTGACTACCAGTGGGACTCAATGAGAGCCCCGCTTGATTTTGGCGATGGCGGAAAGCTAGGCGAAGAGTGGGCGTCGATGCACCACCGCTTTCGCTCAGGGTTGAAGAGGATGGTAAACTGGTATGCGACGATGGACTGTCCCGACGAGATGCTCTGCACATCTACGACCAATGATAACGACCATAACTGCAATGATAGCGGCTATGGTGAAGAGGAGGATGAGGAAGTCGAGACGGTCGTCATCATCGTGTCTCACGGTGCTGGCTGCAATGCTCTGATTGGTGCCGTCACGCACCAGCCTGTTCTTATGGATGTTGGAATCGCCTCCATCACAGTAGCTGCTAGAAAAGCGGATGCTGATTACCCCAAAGCTCTTGCCGTTGCAGCAGAGCGCCAGGGCGGTGCTGTGCCTCCGCTAGCTGCTGTCGATGATTTGTACGATATACGCCTCTCGGCAAGCACAGAGCACCTGCGTTCTAATTCTGGAGCATCCATTACCGGGCCATCAGCGTCGCCCAGGAACACCTGGAGTGCTTCAGGTCGCCGTGATCGCGCATCAGTATTAGCCAGCCCAACCACTACGGAGGGACCTGTCCTGAGTCCCTTTACCGGTCTCGTCTATGGCAGCCGAAGTAGTTCTGCAAACGCTTCAGCCGGCCCCTTTTCGCGACGAGACTCGGGCTCCAGCCGAAGGTCCCCTAAAGTCGCACCGCCTGCAGGTATGACCGTGAACGTCTCCGGCGGCAACGAAAGTAGCGGGCAGACCGCAGGACGGGGGAGTATGTCATCTTCTTCTGGCCTATGGACACCCGCACGCTCTGCGCTGCGTTTTATAGACGATGTCGATGAGGAAGCGGTAGTGGATTATGATAGCATGTTCCCCGACTTTGATAACAAGCGATTCAGCCCCAACCCCATATCGGACGAAAACGTCAAGCCATCGAAAGAAACAAAGTCAAAACCATTCCCATTCCTGGACCGGGCAGCTGAGCGCTCAACTTCTCCAAAGGGGGGCATCTTCTCCGCCCCTATCAAAATCAACACGGAACTGGCCTCCAAGGCATTTGGAGGCCCGGTGGAAGAGATGCCACTGTCACAACTTGGCGGCCTGTGGAATTTAGCTGTGCCTGAACCGGACGTATCTAGGGATTGGAGTCAGACGAAGAGGAGATGGACTGTTAACGAGAGAGCTTGATGATGAGAAAACTGCTCTTATTTAAAAATGATTTTGGGCGTAAGCAAATTTTGATATAAGCGTATCGGTTCTTGATTTGGGATATATATGGCGCAAACGAAGAGAGAGGGAAGCTCACAGGGAAACTGAAAATCAAGAGAGAAATACCTATGTACAGCAGCTCAACAGCGAGCAATCAAAGGAAAGGCAGGGTGGCGGATCCTGAAAGCTGGACCCCTCGGATTGCACTTTATATCTAACATTTTAGCGAGTGTTTTAATCTGTTTCTTTTTATATATAGTTGACGGAAAGCGTGTGTATTGGAGGATATGGAGTTTCAGAAGAATGCTTGAAGCGGTATCCCTTTTTTTTGTTTATATATGAGCTAAACAGCCTTTTTTCCAAACAAAATGATGGTAAAATCTCACAGGGTCTATTTTCATGTTTACACTTTCAAATATGCTTGAATATGTGAAAGGCTGCTGTAATGCCTATTAGTAGTACCTATATATATATGTATGAATATATATGCACCTCTGAAAATAGACCCCAAGGCATCTTCTCTACGGAGGATTATCAAAACACCAACCGTCTAAAGTTGCTTTCCACAATTCCCCACCATGCCAAGAAAGAGGGAAACCAAACCCAGTGAACAGCCATGAGCGTATATATATATGTCTCTCTCGCGTTGCCACTGCTCCATGAACATCTCCCGTTGCTTTTATCTTTGCCCAAGTTCCAATTGCCATTTATGCGCGAAAACACTGATTTGCCATGATATCCATAAACAAACAGGAAAAAAAAGAAAGAAAAAAAAAATTATAACTCCCAGAAATAGAAAGCTAGCTCGCACAGAAGTAGAAGAAGAAAAAACCCAAATCATTTAGTTTGAACCAAACATCTTGTTCATAGCCTGGTGCGCCAGCTCAACGCCCAAGAAGGTAGCAGCGTTCGCAGGAACGGCACGAGCGAGCGCCGGTCCAAAGCCAGGGAAGAAGGCCTTGTAGCCGCCCTTGCCGTACAGCTCGCGGATGACGCCTCCGATGGTGACGTTGCCCTCGGCGGTCTGCAGGCGGGACTTGACGGTATCAACGGGGAAGACGGGAATCCACATGGCCACGCCGGCACCGGCACCAGCGCACGTAATGGCCGTCAAGCTCAGCTGGCCGGTGGGCTTGCCGGTCTCGGGATCGGTAGGGCTCAGCTTGCGCTTGATGACCTCGTAGGCGGCGAAGTAGGCGGCGCTTCCGGGACCGTCGCGGGCGAGGGTGGCTGCGCTGCCGCGGAAGACGGAGCGCAGGCCGCCCTCGCGGTAGAGCTGGCGCACGACGTCGAGGCCGCCGTTGTATTTGGGCTTTTCGCCGGGGGCGAGCTGCGTCTGGCCCTGGACCTGGAGGATGACCTTGACGCGCTCAAAGGGAGCGGTGATGGCGGTCATGGGGATGGCGGAGAGGAAGCCGGCGGCGGCGAGCTGGCCGGTCGAGAGGCCGTCGGGGCCGATGGTCGAGGTGGCGCCGACGATTTGCTTGCCGAGATCGTAACCCCAGAAGGACACGGCGACTGGAATGGTTGTGTCTTGTTAGCCTCCCCAGCACACAATTGTCTTGTATCGTTGCTGCTGCTGCTGCTGCAGCTCTGGGGGGGTTGTTTTGTGCCGAGGCTCGGCAAAAAAAGAACCACCAGAGACAACACAGCACACCACAACAACGACAGCATGAAAAGAAGGAAGAAGAAGAAGGGGGAAAAGTTGCACATACACATGGGAGTCACTCCAACCAGCGGTGCGCTCACACCGGCGTACAGGCCTCTCCTCAGGCCATCGCGCGCGACCGACTTGCGCACCACGTCAATGGCGCTGGAGTAGACGCCGCGCTCGGCCGTCTGCAGGCGCACCTTGACCAGGTCGAAGGGGTGGCCGACGACGACGGCGCAGACACCGCCGAAGCCGCCGGCCGTGAGGGCGCGCAGCTGGGAGAGCAGCGCGGATTGCGCCGCGGGGGCAGCGGCCTGGGCGGTCTCTTTGGCTTCTTGCGCGGAGGGGATCTTGTCGGCGATCTGGGAGACGGCCTCGGCGGGGGAGGCGGCGGGACTGGAGGAGGAGGAAGACATGGCGGGCTGGTCTGATTGTGGGATTGTCTATAGAGATGGAGATGAGGGAAGGAAAAAAGCAGAAGACTGGAAAAGAAAAGAAAAAAAAGAGAGAAAACAACGAGCAGACTAGGTATTAATGAGGACACGGGGTGTGGAGGAGAGAGTTGGGAAGGATGATATATCAATGATTGGCGGGCTGAACATTTTTGATATGCACCTATGCGGGACATGCGCTGCAAACATTACATTACATGTGTGGCGCTGCCAAACGCAGTCTAGGCCGGGACGTGCCAGCGACTGGATGAGCGGAAGGATCTGCCATTCGGACGACGGGATGCTACAATAACGTGTGGTAAAATATATAAGCTAGCACGTTGCTTTTTGTTTTTTTCTGATTCTCTGAGGCATATAAAGACCCTCGTGACGGGCGAGCATCTGACTGAGATTCTTTTTTTTTTGTCCCTCCATGTGCTCTTTTCTTGCTGGACGGGCAAAGCTTCCATGTGATTTGCACATGTCAGCAAAGCACAGCACAGCACTGCGTCTATTACTATCAATTTGGTGCAGACAAAGTCTCCATGCCGTATACTTGATAGATACAATTGCCCTACCAACCGAAACACCCTCTTAACGCATATTTACTGTACATCGGTCAGGACAGTTAGTAGTACATAGCTATATTACCAAGGCTCTTTTTTTTTTTTTTTTTTTTTTCTATCACTTCCTTTGACAGAGGGGTCCCCCGCCTTGAACCTCGGTTTGCGGCTCCGGCTTGCCCCAAGACTCCGTAAAGTCGGCAGGGTCAAAGCGCAAAAAGAGCTATAAAAAGGCGGGACGAAATGCTGTTAGGCCCGAAATCTGGCTTGGTAATTTTGAAAGATGGGCCATGATCCAAGATTTAAGAAAACAAGGAAGAAAAAAAATACATTCATTATAGTAGTTATTATCTAAATTAAATATTCTCTTTCCAACGGCCTCTCTTGATGACATGCATTCCCCATAGTATGTATTAATACTGTATGCTCCCCCGGCAGTCTTCGGCCCAGCCGTAGCTTGCCGAAACGCCACTCCCAAGATTCAACGCCACTTGCCCGTGGGGTAGAGAGCCAGAAAAGGACCAAAAAAGCCGGGGTCCCCCTTTCACCCCACGTTCGTCATAGCAATCACATGCCAGGCCTTGGTCAGCAGAAAACCCGCCTCGCAGTGTCTTCTAATTCAGACATGGAGGCTATCTAGGAGATTGAGATTGTTTCGCAAATCTTAAAGAGCCATGGCGTATTGGTGTGCACGTATGCCTGCTTAATGGATCCAGCGTATATTTAGACTCTATAACGTGGGCTACAGTGTATTGTTAAAAAAGTTAACGTTATAGGAGCTAAAAATATTTGACTATGATGAAGATGAAGGACAAGGATTTCTCAAGACGTGTTTACAGAATTTCATGCGAAAGTGCATCATGAAATATTTCTTGACTCATATCTTCCAAGTTTGAATCCTAAGCGCATCTGCGTTGGCCATTTCGTTCTTTAGCACCTATAAGTAGTGTGGGCTATATCTGCGTTGAATGGAATAAAGGAGGACGTAAAGAACAGAAAGTAAGTCACCAAAAAGCTCCACACTGTTCAGGAACGTTACATATAGTAAAAATAAAGTCATATATACTGGGTAGAACAAATCTATACAAGACTCATAAACCTGGCATCACCTATAAATGATTTCGCAAACGGGGGCGTTTGGACCATAAGGCGGGCGCCAATCACTCACTGCTGTGGCGACGCATTTACACATCTATCACGAGAAAATGATGCTATCTTGGTGTGAATATTGAAGTAAAAGAGGGAGCTCTTAGTTACTTTGGCTCATACGGTGGGTCGCGCAAGTTGTAGGCCGCCCAGGCTAGGCGTGAGATCGAGATCTATATACTCTTTGTTAAGGAGATAAAAATAACGGTGCTTGTCCTAATGCCAGCCCAAACTTTCAGTTATATCAAACAACCCCAGAATTTTACACAACAAAAGATCCTTGACAAATAATAGTTATTCGTCCATTAGTGGCCTGTTACTACATGAAGATGAAGTTCAATATCGCTCTCGCTGCCATAGCTCTACCTAGAATCACCATGGCCGGTCCATTAGCTTACGCCGCATGCCAAGCGGCCTGTTCGACATCTCTCGCTGCAGGGCCTGCTGGCGCTGCCCTCTATGCGGCCTGCCAATCCGCTTGTGTACCGCTACTGGCCATGCCGTGCCCCTAGGCAGTAATTAATTACCTTACTGAATGGTGTCTTGGTTAGTAAGTCCCGTTGGACTCGGCATGGTCTGCCAATGTTTATGCCAAGTTGAATCTCAGAAAAGCAGTGTATAACCAACAATGTATTGCGTATCACCTTGGCAGAGGTGGTCAAATGGACATCAGAAATAGCTGCAAGTCGCTCATTGGATTCGTCCAAAGACTCGAAACCGCATACGCAAAGCCGAGGCTCTGTCCTTTTCACATTTCTCACATCTATATCACAACGGGAAAACTGAAACCATCTTTCTAAAGTGCCTGGACAAAGATATGTGAGACTATAAGGTAATTCATGACGGCAAAAAATTATATAGTCCCATCATGATGCTTCACTCATTCATGGACAATATACGCTCCAATGATATCGAGAAGACAATATTCATAGTTTATACAAAAGAAATTGACGACCAATTCTATGCTATACATTTCTCAATCCAACTACATGCAAACGATACGTGAAATTAAAAGGTAGCAGCAACTCACCCCGCTACCCCTATCAAACAGAGTATCCAACATCAAAGATTCAAAGATTCAAGTGTCTCTCCCATCAAAGTTGTAAAAGCCACATGCTTCTCACGCAACTCCTTCTCCCACTCCTTCTCAACTTCGCCAACAATATGTTCTACATTCATCCATATCCTCTTCCTGTTACGCAACCCCTTCACCGTCATCTCATTCGCCTTGATATCCGTATAAAGGCGATACCAGTTCGTCCTCTCCCGGGGAAGCTTAATAGGCGCCATGGCTCTCTTCGCATCCGCAGATTGCCGCAACTGCGCCTGAAATCGGGGCGAATCGAACCAAGGAGGACTCTTCGGTTCATTCGCTTCCCAGGCGGCATAAAGCTCGACGTCTTGATCCTGAAGAATCTCCGCCCTGCGCCGTCGTTCAATAGCGTATGCTTCTCTCTGCTCTCGCATTTGTTTCAAGTCTGATGCGTTTGCCATTGCCCAGTGATACGGCGTAGGGTCGTCGCACCAAGCTTCGTATATCCACGGCATTTCTCGTACCATCAACCTGTGCCATAAAGATATGGGTAGATGGTAAAACGCTCGGGATGCCAATCGCAAATTAGCCACGTCTCTGGAGTCGAGGTTCCACACAACTGCCTGCCTTAGTTCAGCTGGTAGTGCCAAGAACGGATCTTGCGCCTCATAGCCAATATCTGGCGTCTCAGACACATCCTTGAATGGACTATATTGCACATTAAAACTCTCCTCTTTGGATATGGCCGCCTCGAAAAGAGCTTTCAAGCTGGGCACAAAGACGGGATTCGCAACGAGATACTCTGAGCCAGGGATGCAATTCCAATGCCAGCCGTCGCTCTTTGCATCTTGAACATCGGGGTGCCGCTCGCCAAATACGTCGTTGCGAGAGTTGCTTTCAAGACGAACCAGCGGGTCAAGGCGGACTTGACCCATGCGCAGTTTACTTATCCGAATGAATAGCTCAAAACATGTGGGATGAAAAGGAAGTATGCGACTTGTCCACTGAGACGACTATTCCATTACCACGTATGTTAGTTCGACCGACCAGCTCTCACCATGGAATCCCATCACACACTTACCATGCACCAAACATCGCTATCATTCGTCGCATCGCACTGATCCGCCTCACCTCGATGCGGCGCACATCTCAGCCCAGCCCCCGACGCAGGCATAAAGTCCGACAGGCCCGTAAGGGCATAATACATTGACGTCCTCTCAAAGTCCATATCGTCGTCCCGTGGCGTCCAGTGCTCGGGTTTCCGAAAGATGCCCTGGACGGTTTGGCAGTCCATCATCTCCTCCGCACTAATCATATCGCCGTGGAAGCCTCGGGTATTGAGACAGCCTGGGCCGGCAATGTGTTCATACTTGCGAGCTGCGGGAAGAGCCATGATGTGTCGGTCGCTCTCCATATCCTCGTCCTTTACCGCTCCATGTTCGTCGTAGGGTGCTGATAAGGACAGGAACTCGGTGTCATATTCTTGGACGTCGAGCCCCTTGATATCGAAAATCAATTCGCCGTCTTCTACGTCTGACTCCTGATTCTGGGGAGAGCTTGTCTCCCTTCCCTCATCGATCATCTCGTCGTCATCGTCGTCGTCGTCATCACCGTCTTCTACATTCGAGTCATACTCCAAGGGTTCGTCATCATCATCACCCTCATATACATATGTAGCATCGTCCACATCATCTTCATATAACCGTGGATGAATCCTCCGCTCCCAACTCGGCCTTCCGCGGTAAACAGAAGTACATCCGCCGTCAGGACAGTCCTCTTGATCAAAGGCTGATAATGCAACCCAGTCCCAGCCTTTGTGCCTGCTGGTGAAAGTATTGCCCCAGGCAGAGCTTCGAGGCTCATCACGGGTCCTAATCCGATTGATGTTGAAGATGACGCCACATAGTTGGCAATATGTCTATAAAGAATGGCTCTGCTTTAGCGTCTGGTGACACTTTCATGAAGACTAGACAGCCGCCGTACCTTATCATGATCTGACTAATGTTAGCTGAAGGCTGCTTACAAAGGGGCTAGTCATGTATGTCATTACTCATTTGTACAGAATACTCGTGCAAAATGACGAGCAAAGAGATCCATCTGCAACTTTGCGATACTGCTATGGTAGGTAAAGGAAATGGGAACTTGTGTGAGATCCGAGCACCGGATGGCTCTTTAATAGGAGGTGTAGATAGATGCCCAACGTCAATGCTGATTACAGCATCAAATAAGCAGCCCGCATTTTAAAAGGGCCGCTCCGAGTTCGTCGGCACGCAACAAGGATGAATGGCGCATGTATCTAGATCGCTCATATCTACACGAAGGTGGATATGCCATGTGGAAAGTCGATATGCATTATAAGACTAAAAGAATCTCCGACTAATACTAGCTCTGTTGTTTAGAGATCCAATCATACAATTCGACCAGCACTATAGCAAATAGCGCCCTACGTCATACTCAGCCACTGAATATTAACCAAATGATGGACAGATGCACCTCGGAGCATATAATCGCCAATCTGTAGCATTGGAGGAAAAGTTACATGTAATAATGCAATGCGTCCGGTCTCGGCGCCGATCGGCGTGAATTCCACACGTACCTGACATTGCGACGAAATAAGCCTAGGCACAGATCAGATCATGTAGACAGAAGCGCAACTTTTGAGGTGATCCCACACATTGAGATTTAACATGTCAAGCTCCGCCAGGGATCTAGATAATTCTAGCGTATGCTACCGCCACCTAATTATAGACAGAAACATATCCTAAAACGCCAGGCAAAATCCAGGATTTGCACCATTACGCCAATCATCCAGCCCCATCCTTATAAATAAAGTCTCCCTGCCTCCAATTACACTGCCGCCATCGCTACTAAGCAATTGGTTCGCGTGCCAATAAATGCTGTGACGCAATAGAAATATCCGCGCCGTATGTCTTGGATGGCTAGTAATACTTCTTATTAGCCACCGGTAGAATCGTCGACGTGTCGGGCCCCAGAAGCCAGTATTCAAGCCATGTACAGGGCAGCAAATTGTTCCCCTAGAATTGCTTCGACATCTGCGGCGGGTTGACCAAAGCTCGCCCTCGAGTGCACCAGCACCCATTGTCTCCATCTCTTTCCACCTGTATAACGGCATCAATGCCCTCTTTAAGCAGATACTCTCGAACACGATCTTTAGTGTCCTCTAGAGCGGCGCCACGAGCGACCGTGACATGAACAATACCCAACAGCTTCTCACCTCCATGATCGTCCATCCAAAATTTCGGCGTGGCGTAGCTTACAACGCCTCGTTGTTGTCCAATACCGGCAAGGATGTTCCGCAGGTTATACTCAACTCCCTCGGGCACAGTCAAGAGCAGCCGCTTTGCCGATGAGAATACAAGTGGCTGCGCAGACAGAAAGATGAGCGTCGCAATAAAGCAAGAAGCCAGCGGGTCCCATCCAGACCAGCCCCAGAAGCTTGTCAAAACTGTAGATACAATGACTGAGACGCTACCCAACGTATCTGCCAGAACATGCAGGTAAATGCCTCGCATGTTTTCATTTTCATGGTCATGGCCATGGTCATGTCCATGACTGTGACCCGAGTGCGAACCACAGCCGTGGTCATGCTTCTCACCATGGGAGTGGCCATGAGAATGACCGTGGGAGTGACCGTGATCATGGCCGTGGTGGTGATGTCCAAACGCCATCATGCCGACCAAATTCACAGCCAAGCCCAGACTACTAACGACGAAGAGCTCACCGAGCCGCTTTGTTTGCGTCCCCTCCCATAGCCGCTCAAATGCCTCAAATGCAATTTCAACGCTAAGTAGCCTAAAAGCAAGCAAACAGATTTGTCAGAGATTGTAGGTCAATAGCAATTGGTCCGATAGACACTTACATTAAGAGGATGCCATTGGCGAAACCACTCAGTGTTTCGACTTTTCCAAAGCCATAGGGAAATCGCTGGCTCTTTGGCCATTTGCTCATGACAGCTGCCAGTAATCCCACCAGTAAAGCAACGCAGTCGAAAAACATATGAATGCTGTCACTAAGGAGGCCTAGCGAATCGGTAACGTAGCCATAGAAAGCTTGGATAATCATGAAGCCAAAGTTCAGACTGACGGTTTTCTAATTAGTATCTACTGTCCGCAACATGGATAGGTAATGGCGGGTATACACATACGTCATAAAGTAGAAAATACGCCTCGAGTCCTTCTCGGCAAGTATAGAATAAAGAATGGGCCATCCGACAGTGTATGGAAGGATAGCCCTCGTGAAGAGAGACCGCTCAGAACCGTGGCTATGGCCAGTGCTGGTACCGACGCCGTGGCTATGGTCGTGGTCATGGTGATGATCGTGATCGTGATCATGATCGTGGCTGTGGTCGTGAGAGTGAGAGTGAAGATGAGAGGGGAAATGCTTGTCGTGGTTATGATTATGTTCGTGGTCGTGGTCGTGGTCGTGGTCGTGGTCGTGGCTATGGTCGTGGCTATGAGTGTGGTTGTGGGCATGATTGTGGGTGGTTTCATCTATGCCTTCTGGTGTATAACGGTTTCTCCTCCCTTGAGACCGACTTTCGATGCCTCCTACCAACGGCTTCTCTTGTAGCATAGTAGCGCTTGCGTTGGAGGCTTGAGAGCCACTACGGCCATGGTGTGGATAGCTGTAGGAATGCGCATGCAAGAATGAGGGAGACAGCGGCGGCGGCGAGTGTGAATACCCCTTTGAGCGTAGGTGGGAGTGAGAGTGGCCATGATCATGGTCGTGGTCATGATCCCCGCATCCATCTTCGTCGTCTTCAAGCTGCGAGGGCAGACTGTCGCTCGATACAGTCATCCGCCAAGTGTTGTTTAGCGACGGCGGCTGGGAGCGAGTGTGAGCCCGATGTGCGTGCGGCAGAGCCGACGACGGTAGCGAATACGATGTGTCCATGGCTATGGCGAGATCGACCGACCGCTATGTCGTCGCAAAGTGCCCGTCGCGCTGTGTGTCGTCGTTGTTGCTGGGGTGCGATTCGGGGCTGGTTCCCAAATCTTGAGCTCGCGGTTCGAGCCACCCAAGCGATAGACGCGTTGCTTCGCTGCGAGAGATACGCCGTCTCTCAGAATAGCACCGGCAGCCACATCAAGGCTTTAACGTGCCAGATCGATGCAATTGAGACCAAAGAGGCGGTCTCGCGAATATCGAGTGGAGGTCGAGAGATGGTCCCTCCCCCAGCTTGAGCCGTCGTCAAAGGCGACAGACCAGCAGTCCGTCCAAATAGGGGAACAGGCACACGGACAAGAAAAAAAAGCATCGGCTGCCAAGGCGCCACCCACTGCGCTGCTAGTGCGCTGTTGCCAGCACTAACACAGGCCTGAGTGACCACCTTTTTGGGGGGGGGTTGCGGGGCACGTGGAGGCGCTTGCGGCGGTCGTAATGCAGCCATCCAGCGCCTTTGGGGCTAGCAGCTGCGGGCGATGGCTATCAGCGCGGGATTAGCGGCAGGTACCGGAGCATCAACTGCCTGCTGGAGGGCGCGCGACACCCGCTGGACTCGTTTGGCCGATGCGCTGCTGGCAGGGTTGCGATAGCACGCTGGGTGCTCGCTAAAAGAGAGATGAGACGCCAAGTGCTGCCCTGCATCCAAGCACGGTGACGCAACAGGGCCCTCTTTTTGTTTATGATTGAGAGAGAAGATGGAAACATCAAGATGGCCTTGTTTGTACAGTGCCGGTCTTGACGTGATAACGTTGTCGTCGATGAAACAAATTCGGAAGTCTCTACAGTGCTTTATAGACGGCCAATTTAGGCGACGTGGATGCATACACCAAAAAGGAAGGTCTGGATAGCTCACGAATCTCAGCCTAATGCTACTTGGAAAAGACCTAAAGACCACACAAGAGCGTACTGTGACGAGCGCATAACATGGCGCAACATGAATGATCAAAATCCTTCAACCGGCCGTGCTAGTGGTAGTATTATCCGGGGTGCCTATATTGCCATTGTTATGCCATAAGTGGTTATGGTAGTGCGCAATGCTTGGTCTACACAGATGGTCCAACTCAGCGTATGGACAGCATTAGCATGAAGCCATCTCTCGATAAGCTTTTATCCTGGTCAGGCTCGGCTCATCCGTCCAGGTACCAACTGAGCAAAATCTACTAAGATCTCACTGCGAATTGCCCTCCGAGTACAACCTGTAATGTCTTGCATCATGGCCGCACTGATTGGCCTTTGGCTGTCCCCGCGATCTCCATTGCATGTGGCGCCCATCACAGAATGCGACTAAAGCCTACTGTATTATCGGGTGTGCGCTGCCAGCAGCCTCTCCAGCCACATCGCGCTCTGCGCCACAGCCAAAAAGTTCCAATGATGCTGAGCTTGGCACTGCTTTACCGGCCACGCTTAGAGGCTCATCTTACGGCCAACGAGCAGAAACAAGGATAGGTGGTTTCATTCTGCGCTTCATTTTCATATGGCGGTGCATGAAATCTCACGCAACCCCTCTCTTTGCATCGGGTTGTCTTGATAGCGGGAGCATCAGTAGCTTGCTGGGATCGTCCACCAAGTATCTGTATCTGGGTCTAATCTGGCCAGCTGTCATTCATTCATTGCCCTTCACAATCGCTGCGCCGAATCTAGAGGAGAGCCCAGTTATACATCGTTTTCTTCTTCTTCTATTTAGTCTTGCAGCTAGGCATGATTCAGTCTGTCCAAGATGCCCTACTACGCTAATTTCATAATATCCGCCATCCTCGGCGGGCTGTCCGTCATTGCTCTTGGCTACGTATTTTCTTTCGCCGTTTGGCTCGGGAAGAAGTCTCTCGACGCCATCCCCACCCGCTATCATCCCGCTGAGAAGCCAGAGGATGAGCATATTCAGATCCTCGTTGTGGGTGATATTGGAAGAAGCCCGCGGATGCAGTACCATGCCCTGAGCGTTGCCAAGCATGGAAGGAAAGTTGACATTGTCGGCTATAAAGGTACGTGACTGAGAGACTCTTATTCTCACTTAGATGCATCTACTTATCCCATGCTCGTAGAGACGGCTAGACACCCTGATCTCATTGGCAAAACCAACGTCACAGTCTATCCTCTCGCACCTCAGCCAGAATGGATCGCCTGGGGGACGTTGCCCTTTTTTCTCAACATCCCTGCCAAGGTCATTCAGCAGTTCTGGACCTTGTTTAGGACGCTCATGTACACCACTCCTCCTGCTCAGTGGATTATTATTCAGGTAACGACAGATTCTCCTTAACCTCAGGTGCTGCCATCTATAGTTCTAACAAAATTCATAGAATCCGCCTTCCATCCCCACGTTTCACGTAGCTCTTTTCGTCTCATGGATTCGCGGCAGCAAGGTCATTGTCGACTGGCACAACTATGGACATACCATTCTGGCGCAAAAGTCTCTGCTCCGACCTCTTGTGCCCATCTACAAGTATTACGAGATTAAGCTAGGCCGATACCTAGGAAATGCAAACCTCGCGGTCACTGATGCCATGGCGAAGCAGCTTCAAACCGGAGGCGGCTTTAATCTCAAGAACCCTGTCTATACGCTACATGATAGGCCAGCTGAGATATTTCAGCCCATGAATTCCTCAAAGGATCGACTCGAGTTTCTCTCTCGCTTGGCTGAAACCAAGAATTACGCCAAGAATATCGTCGATGGGGCCCTTCGCTTAGTAGTGAGCAGTACCTCCTGGACAGCCGATGAAGATTTTGGCATGCTACTCGATGCTTTGGTCGCCTACGCTGCGCCAGCATCGGGCCAGGAAGGTGTTCCCCCCATCTTGGCCATCATCACGGGCAAAGGTCCCCAGAGGGAGGCCTACCTTGAGAAGATCAAGGAACTGCAAGATGCCGGTAAACTACCTGGTATTCGTATTCTCAGCGCCTGGCTTTCTAATCGGGACTACGCCTCGCTGCTCGCTGCAGCCGATCTTGGCATCTCCCTCCACAAATCTAGCTCTGGGGTGGATCTGCCCATGAAAGTGGTTGACATGTTTGGGGCGGGTCTACCCGTGGCTGCGTACGCTGGCTTCGAAAGCATTGGAGAGCTCGTGAAAGAGGGTCAGAATGGCTGTGGCTTCGAAACAGTACCGCAACTAACTGAGATCCTAAGGAGATTGCTCAGCTTTGAAGGAGCAGGAGAGTTGGCTACACTGAAGCAAGGTGCTGTTGAAGAAGGCTCACGGCGTTGGGATGAGGAATGGGATTCTGTCGTTGGCCCTGTGATAGGGGTAGCAGACAGACTGACATAGATAGATTGGGGCATCCACGCATCATTCCATTGAGATAGCGACTCGATGTATACATTAACAATTTTGCATTTTTTTGTTGCTTTACGAGCGCTTATTTGATTACGCTACTGTTCGTCCGCAATGAACGAGTCAAGGCTCTTTAACAATACAGCATCTCCAAGACGCCAAACTAATGCAAACATCAGGACACCTCCGTCATCCACCAAAACGCCATCCATTTTGTAAATGTAAAAATTCAAAGTTCCAGCTCAGCAATGCATCCAAGTTACCACTTTTTGGTGTGTGTGAACGTCTCAACCATTCTCAATCCTCTCCCAGACTCTCCCTCACACACTTCCGACAACGTCTCCTGTATTCCTTGTGTTTGCCCTCCTTCTCCTCACGCAGCATCCTCGCCGCCTCAACGTTGGCGGGGCTCTCTTCGTTGGGGCTATAGAACAGGCTGATGATACTAAGGAGGATCGTCTCGGGGGTCTGGACGGGACTCCACCGCTCGGCGGCAGACTCATAACCGTACTGGTCTTCCTCAGGAGGGTGCAGGATGGAGATGCACAGCTTGCCGTTCTCGTAAATGTTGGGGTGGAAAGGGATGGGATCTTGGAAGGTGAGCTGAGGCGGCATATGGGGGTAGTTTTCGGGGAAAACTAGACGAGCTCGAAAGTTACCTCCTATAATCACCAATCGGTCAGCTTTCGAAATCATTACGGCGCCTAAATGCAAGGGAGAGGAGGTGAAAGGACAAGATGGCGGGGCAAGCCACGTACCGCCGTAGTATTTGCAGTCGTCATTGATCATGAGCATCACCTCCCACTCGAAGATGTTGTTATCGTTGACGAGGCCGCACGAAATTCCGGGGAGGTCCTTGCCCGACTGCATCTCCTTGAGCTGGCGCTTCAGCAGAGACGCTGCGGCGGCACCGGCTGAAGCCATGGTAACGGTGATGCTATGGATAGCTATATATGATGCTTGGATAGAGATGATACCGGTGGTGCTTCTCGTACCAAGGGAGAGGTGGCAGGAGAAGTTGTCGTCGACAAGGTAGCCAAGGCGTTAGGGACAGAAGGGGAAAGAGTTCAAGGTTCGGATATGGCGAAAAGAATAGCTTAGTAGTACTAGGTAGGCATCATCGATGCAGTAAGCCATCCATGCCTGGGACGGATTTTGGGTGTGCGGGGCAGCCTAAGGTCCGCTATCCGGCTCCGGCTGGGTGGCACACGACCCTGCGCTGCACCTGGATGGCCTCAGCTATAATGTACAGGTATTTGTGACATGGCAGCAAGTTGGTGGCTGCAGAGGCGTGATTGAGATATGTCATCGTGATCGTATTATTTCTTCAAGACAAATATTTAATGAAAAATGCCAAAGGCTGTATAGATTGAGCAATATTCGCCAATTCATCCAAAGAAAACCTCGTCTCCAGTCCTGGGTATCATAAAAGTCGTCCTCTCGCCATCCTACAGCACACATCGCAGCAACCAATCACTTCTTTGACGATCCAAACCCGGTAAACCCCATCTGCGCCATCATATCGTCTTCGTCATGCTCTCCTTCGATCCGCACATCCTCGCCATATTCCGTCTTCACCTTGGCGGCCTGTTCCTTTTCCTGCCGCTTCTTCTCTGCCTCTTCCTTTCGCTTCGCCCGCTTCTCTTCTGCTTCCTTCTTCATTTCCTCCTCTCTTATCTGTAGCCTGTCTTGTAGACTCGTAGTTTTCTCTTTCTCGAGGTCTTCTTTCCGGCGAATGTAAAACTCGATTCGCTCGTGAACTTCCTCGACCGTTGCCCGCTTGACTTCTGTGGTCTGCCCGGTGTTGAGCAGATGCTGGATCGTATTCAAATGCTATATGGGCCTAATTAGCACTCGATCTGGACTTCACCTCACCCTCTGCAACCAATATGTGCATACCTCGACCCATTGCAAGTTATCCTTGAACGTAAGATCGCAAGCCTCGCAGTAGAAACCAGCTCCCCTGCCTCGTTTGCCAACTCCCGATCCAGCCGGCACTATCTGCGTCTTTCCGACCTGTGCGCTGACGTCGATGATATTTCGCCGCGCTGATGTGTACGTCTCATTGCCCGTCATGGGCTTGTGGTATTTCTTGCCGGCGAGCTTGGCCTCGTAGCGCGCCTTTGCCTCCTCCTTCTCCTTGGCCTCGCGTTCTTTTGCTTTGGCGGCATATTCGTCTAGATCCCAATTCTTGCGAAAATCGGTATCTGAGGCCGCCACGCCGTAGGCGCTCTTGTTCTTTGAATCAGACATGGCGGGTTAAAAAAAAAAAAAAAAAAAAAAAAAACAAATAAAAAAAAAAAAAAAAGATCAAATCACGTCGATAAAAGAAAGAAAAAGGCATATATAATATCTTTCTAATTGCTTAGACGTGATCTTCCGGCCCTGTTACACTTATGGTAATTACTCTATATGTCAATAATAATAATAATGATTCATTAATTAAAAAAAAAAAAAAAAAAAAAAAAAAGGTGAGAGAGAATGATGTAAAGAAAGAAAAAAAAAAAGGACCCGGCTTGCAAACTGTCAGATTTAGACGCGACACCAAGATCGCCAAAGCTTTGATAGTAGCCGGCAAGACAAGGGTCAACCGGCGCTAAGATAAGAATTCTCAACCCCACCGCGGGGCAGCTTTTTTGAAGATGAGTTTTCCAACTCTATACGCAATTTGCACGTGGCAATCGAATCGAAATGTTGTACCTTGTTGGTCTTGGTCTCTCTGACGAGACGGATATCACCGTCAAGGGGCTCGAGGTGGTGAAGAAGGCCTCTCGAGTCTACCTCGAGGCCTACACAAGCATCCTGCTGGTGGATCAGTCTGTTCTGGTATGCATCCTCACCACTCCAGTGACAACTTACAACGTCTCTGGCAAAAAGGAGCTAACGCTGACTCTTCAAGTAGGAAAACTATTATGGACGGTCCATAACCATCGCCGACCGGGAGATGGTCGAGTCAAACAGCGACGAGATTCTCAGGAATGCGCAGAACGAGGACGTCGCCTTTTGCGTTGTCGGAGATCCGTTCGGGTTAGCTATACCTCGATGTGTTGATCATCCATAGCCTTTGCTAACCATTTTCGCTGCAGTGCTACCACACACACAGATCTCGTCATCAGAGCTCGCGAACTATCCATTCCCGTGCGTACAGTACCGAATGCCTCCATCATGTCCGGCATCGGCGCTTGCGGCCTCCAGTTGTACAACTTTGGACAGACCGTATCCATGGTCTTCTTCACCGAGACATGGAAGCCAGCTTCCTTTTATGACAGGATAAAGGAGAATCGCAACATTGGCCTGCATACATTGGTCCTAGTCGACATCAAGGTCAAAGAGCAGAGCTTGGAGAACATGGCCCGAGGCAGACTGGTCTACGAACCTCCCCGATACATGACAGTCGGACAGTGCGCGCAGCAGATGCTGGAGATTGAAGAGGAGCGCAAGGAGGGTGTCTACACCAAGGATAGCTTGGCTATTGGCGCTGCTCGGGTCGGAGGCAAGACGGAAAAGTTTGTGGCTGGAACGCTTGAAGAGCTGTGCTCTGCGGATGAGGCACTGGGACCTCCCCTGCACAGTCTTGTCCTGCTGGGCAGGAGAGCTCACGAGCTGGAGCGTGACTTTGTTCGTGAATTTGCTGTTGATAAGGAGAAGTTCACCAGAATATGGGCAGAGGACTACGGAAAGCAGTAAGGTACTTGATGAGAAGTATACAAAAAAGGAAAAAAAAAAAAAAAAAAAAAAAAACTCCATATTTAATTCATGATTGACCTAGATGATAATAGTACATTGATATTGATCCACATTGTGATGCTTTGACCTATTTGTTTGAAGCACGCCAGTTACCCACGTCCTCAGCTGAAATTTCTCGAAGCTTGTTCACATGAGCAGGCTTTCCGGTGAGAACGCCTTGCGCAACCTCAGCAGCACGGCTGATGAAGTTCCCAGACACCAACGAGTATGTCACAGTGGTGGTCTTGACACGAATAATTCCAATACGCGGGTCATTCTCTGAGCCATCGTGGACGCCATCGCCAAGATCACCCAGCCAGGCCTTTAGTTCGCTGCTATATGTCTTCTTGACCAGATCGCGATCCGTCACAACACTCGCCTGGCCTGCGATGGAAGCCCACTCGCCGGAACTGTTGATAAAGGACACATTCACGTGGGGATCGTTGGATAGGTCGTTGGTCTTGCCGGACTCTGTATTGGTGTGGAAGAGAAGATCAATGCCACCGGATTCCTACTAAGTGATCAGTTTCTGTAGCGAAACAATTTCGGCTAATGCAACTGCTATCTTACAGTGCCAGCCAAGCCCATGCAGCGCGAGACCAGATTGTTGTGAGATGAAGCCTCAATGGTCGTCAACATGCCAAATTTGCATTTGGTGATGAAATCAACAAGATCCGTAACTAACGTCTTGAGGTCAGTCTCGTCTTTGTTGACTTGAGTATAGGGATCGGCGGGCTTATCGCCGGTAGGTGCGCTGGTTCCAGTTGTTGCCATTGTAGCTGAATATACGATGATATTATGCTAGGAGGGTACAGGATTGTTCTTGTATTGTGCAGTTTGTGCTATCGATCTTTTTGTTTCCATAGTCACACTTTATATAGCCCATTGAATTCTAATTCTATGATATCCCACATTCATCATACGTACGTAAGGCTGAATATTCTCAAGGTAAGAGGCGATTAAGGCTGCTATAGAAGCGAACAGTCATGACGTCAGGCATTGAGTATTTAGCCACAAGATTGCGCTGCACCGTCGCAGCCATTGGATAGGTAGAAGACTGAGATGATCTGTTAATGGAGTTAAAGCTTAAAACAGCACATCCTCATCATCAAGAATCTCATGACTACATGACCAAGCATCGCCGATTGCCGCTGTCATCGGCAATAGCTGAAGTTGCTACCCTGGAGCTCGATGCTCGCTGACAGGGGCAGCTCATTTCCTTAATTGGAAGTGTGCTCGGATCCCTGTTTGTTTGTGATTCAGGCATGTACATACAAAAAATGATTCAGGCCATGTCGATAAAATGAGAATTATGAGACATGGACAAACGAAATAGGAGTAGCGACTCGAAGCCTGCTGTGATGGGACGGGGTCAATCAATATGGTATACTATGTAGTATATGGGCCTGCTTACACGGCACGAAGCATCGCAGGACAAAGGCCCTACGCAGCTTGGCAGCACAGCCTTATGGCCGGTATTGAAACGCTCCACCCTTTGCATTGAGCTGAGCATAACTGCCGGCGACTGCGCCTAATGGTCCATCGCTTCACCCAATTCTCACGACATGGCATCGAACAACAGGGATCAGGATCGGACCGCCCCAGCGCCCTTAGCTTAGCAGCTGCTTTAATAGTATAGTATCTAGGTAGATACCTAGTGCTCCTTACACGCCCAATTACCATGTAGCGAGCCGGCCAGACTGGCACAGTGCCCGTAAAACGCTGCCCGTCGCCGGCGACCAAACCCATCACCTGATAGCAGCCCGTCGCTTCTCTCGCCCTTAGAGAATCTCCGGTCTGTTTCGTTCCACGGTGGATGCCGTACCGTAACAGACGCCGCCCGTTCACTCTTTCCTTAATTCCCCGCGCCACTTCCGCGTTTATTCCCACCCACGTTTGAGGCAGGCACGAGGTACCCATTGCCAGCTTTCGGATAAAGTCCTGCCTGCCAAGGGAAACCCGCTGGCAGAGGAAAGAGGGACGTGGCGGCTTATTACCAGCTCGACTCGTGGGCAGGCAGGAGCAGGTCGTCGTCCGGCCCTTTCTGGGCTCAGCTGCTCAACCTTTTGCCGGCACTGAATCGCCAAACCCCATCTTTTCCGCTCTCTCTTTCCCTCGGTTTTAATCCATCTTCGGGTTGTACGGCTCGGGTTTCTCCCAAGCTGCCAATCGAGTGGTTTTTTGTCCCTCTTCTTTTCTATCCTTTTCCCACTACCCATCGGCTCCTGTCCCTCGCCAACGTTTCTCGGTGCATCCTCAAATCTGACCACTTCTCGTCGGCCGGTCCTAGGCGTGGCTCCGTCCAGCTGCCAGCTCGCCTTACCAAGCCTTGGTCCCTGGTGAAATTCATTTCGTTGTCCGTGAATCACAGTCAATCGTTTCCCTGCCCACCACTTGTCCAGCAGCTGTGAGAGCCTGCATGCGTCCCTCTTCCTCACCAGCATCGGCAGGGCAAGAGTAAATTTGGCATTGGGTCGCTCAAGGCTGGCCTTGTTTACCGCTTCCTTATCCGTCTTTGAGTCTGGCTCGATTTGAACTCGACACCTTCAAACCCACTTATTCTGTTCTTCTCTATCGTTTCATTGTGTCTCATCGTGTCAGCCACTGGCGTATCCCATTCGGTGCATCAGCAGCAGCTAGACACGCTGCCGCCCTCTGTGTTAGGTGCTGTTCTGTTATCGAGGTCTAGTCTGGTATGAGAAATTGTTGTCGAAGCTTGTCGCAGCACTACGCATCGTTACGGGAAAGCACTTCCCTATCTGTTTGCATTCCGTCTTCTCCACTACCAGAACAAGATAGACCTGCGGCAAGATGAATGGTCAGGTAAGGAGATGTCGGCCAGTCCCTATTTTCTTGGCCGACCAAATGCTCATTCTTCATAGCTCGTGTTTCCATGGGAGTGCCGCGACAAGGAGGACCAGGCGTGGGTTGCCTACAACTATCCCCTTCGTCGGACTAACCAGCTGCTTACTGAGGAGAACCTGAGGCTCAAGCGCATCCTTCGCGAGAATGGTATCTCTTGGTCACCATTGGCTCAATCACATCTTGCTCAGAATGACCCCACGAGACGCAAGACTCGATCATCTGCTGCCGGCTCCAGTGATTTGGCCACCCTATTTTTACCCACTGAAGTTCTCTTGCGAGTTCTCAAATTCGCCATGAAGAGCGATCACCCAATCATCGACCCGTTGAGTGCTATCACGGCTGAGCATCTGACTGAAGAAGAGAAGAATAGAGGTAATCAGATCGCCATTCACTTTCTAGCGACAAATAGAGCGATGAATGCCGAGGGCACTCGATTCCTTTGGGAATCTAACCACTTCGTCTTTACCACCCCTCAAGCTCTGCGAAACTTTAGCGAGCTTAGCTTTCACTATCGACACAAGCTCTTGCATGTCAACCTCCGTGTCGTTGCCCGCTACTATGACGACCAGCGCCGCAAGCATAAGCTTGAACGCTACTATCATACCGATCTGAAGAAAGATCATCCCCTCAAAGTGCATATGCGGCCAAAGGAATCGCCCCTCGTTCGTGGTGGCTTCCGCTGCTACACCTGGAATCAACTCATCGATTTCTTTCTGGCCTTGCGTGCCCCATTTGACCCCGCCTATAAAGACAAGAAAAGCCCCAGACCAAGACTGCTCCCATCACTGTCATCTCTGCGAATCGACTTGGTGAACTTCTCAGACTCGCTGCTGCCATTCTCGGGATCTGAACTTCATGAAGTAGCGTCTCACGAGCTAGGTTGCACTTTGAATGAACTCCAAGTAACTGGAATGCCGTTTGATGACGTCGGGATGAAAGCTTCTGCGGAACTTAGTGGTCTGGTGAAGGATGATGGCCTCTATCTTGATGCGGCAGCATCTTTTATCGCAAACTCCAAAGGTCTGCAGAGTCTTAGGGGAGATAATTGGTGTGCTCGAGTGATTAGAGCATACAAGGACCTCAAAGACGAAATGGAGGAAGAGGGCCTTGGATTGGCTGGTGAAGAAGGAGAAGACGGCGAAATTGGCGAACACTTTCACCTGCATTCTTTTGAGGGCTACCACAAGGTAGGTACCCTGCCCGCCGCCCCCGCTGAGTATGGCCATCCGGCGTCAACCCGTGACGAGAAAAGAGTCATCTGGAAGAAAGTACCCATCGCCCGTGACGCGGACAAACGCACATGGGTCCAATTCTCCCGAATTAACGGATACGAGATTGAGGACTCGGCCTGGGATAGCGACGACGATAGAATTTGTCCTTGCTGCGGAGATTCGCACCTCAGCTCGCCAATGCTCGAATTTATGAGCGATTACGAGTGATAGTTCACATTATCCTGTTCTGTTTTGTTTTTTTACCCAGCACCGCGTTTGATTGAGATAATGAAGGAATTTATCGCAGCAAGAAAAAAGATGCTGCATAGTATTATGTGTTTAGATACCCCCGGAAAGCTGGCGGCAAAAAGAGGAGCTTTGTACCTGATGGAGATGCATATAAGTGGGCTTAAAAAGGGACAGGCATTAGTAGTATGAGAGTTGCAAAGCTGTGAAGCTAAATCAAACGTGTTCATTTGATATATTACAATGCGGAAAAAGTGACTCGAGATTTGTTGGCTGATGATATGATGTGCTCGAATAGAGAAAGGCCGACGACGTTAGTGTGGAACGGCAAGGCGGTATTGTTTGCACGACGATGAGGTAGCAGCCTAAAGGATTTACCAAGAAAAAAACACCCCGTGAGTAGCCAAAGCTCATGCCATGACTGATTTAAGGTCGATGATGTGTTCTACTCTGATGAAATTTCCATTTCCAAGGCAAAACGTGATGTACTGGATACTATTTACCGCTGCAATATCGCTACAAAGGCTAGACGGGCACGCCAGTTGAAAGGTGCTCTAGAATACGGTGTGCTGGTGCTGATCCTAACGGACTGGACTTCTGGGTACACGCACTAGCAGTACCCCGTACCTTACTCAAAGTGCCCCCACCAACCAAGGTGCTGCCACGGCTTGGGCATAGGCAACTAATCCACCGCCGCGCTCCTCGGATCCCGCTATCGCCATCCCCATCTTAAATATTATAATACAGGCACCGTTTCTACCATTCCCTCCCAAGAGAACAGCACTGTAACCGCACAAGTCATTACCATATCTGCGCGTATACAATAACCAACAGAAGACACCATCTCCCGTCCAAGACTCGGGCTCTGCAGAGGCCCCTACGTCTGAATCCTAGCCCATGCCATAGGGCACCGCTCCAGCATGAGCATCCGCCATGCCCCTGCCAGCGCTGCTCTCCTCCAACGATAGGTCGACATATTCCCTTGCATCGTCCTCGGGCAAGGCACGCTCTGTCCCGGCCGTCGACGGCGATATCCCGCCTGAGTACATCCACGACGAGGCCCAGCTGCCCTGCATCCCGCCCGAACGACCGGACCTGCGCGAGCTAAACTGCTGCCTCGAGGCCCTCGCGGCGGTGTTTCCCGATATCCAGATCGAGGTCTTTCGAGAGCTGCTAGGTAATTTCGATGGCGAGTCGAGGCTCGCTTTGGTGGCCGATGCGCTGCTGAAGAACCGCGCTACATGGGTCAAGGGCAGATGGAAAGTTGCCGGCCCTGAGAAGCCCAGTGGCAGCATCCACCGCGGAGAACGAGACAGGACACAAGCAGAAGCGGTTGGCGCCGTCAGTCGGCTCGTACCAAGAGCGGAGATCTTTCGGAGTGAGGGCTACAAGAATGCTGTGCGGACACTTGCGTGGCAAGAGTTTAAAGGCTTGTCAAAGTCTACAATCAACGCGGTACTGGCCGAGTCCAACTACTCGTACCTGGACGCTCGGAGGACGCTTGTGACGCTGTCGTCCAAGTCATGGCGCTTCACACTCTCGTCGTTCATCATGAGGCGCAAGCCTGTGGCGACGGGCGAGGCAGACAACCACCCTCTTGTCCGCTGGCGCACGACCAGCCAAGGCTCGAGCATACCCACGATACGATCTACGGGAAACGCTGAGCTTGACCGGGAACTCTACGATGCTCTCGTCCGACCGCTGAAGGAAAAGGACAGGGAAGAGCGAATCGCCAAAGACCGGGCCACGGCGATGCGGCTGAACAATGACGAAGCCGAAGAAGCAGGCGCAGTTCACGAGTGCATGTGCTGCTTCACCACAGCCCCATTTGAGGAGTTTACGCACTGCAACAAGGACGCACACATGATTTGTTTCCGCTGCGTCCAGCTCTCCCTCAAGGAGGCCGTCTTCGGCCAGGGCTGGCAGAGCAGTATCATCCCCGAGACCGGGACGCTGAGGTGCATGGCTGTCGGCCATGATCAGTGCCCAGGCTACATCTCGTCTGAACACATGTGCAGAGCCATGTTGGAAGAGAAGAAGGGTGCCGAGATTCTGCATCAGCTAGACCAACGCCTTGCGGAACACGCCTTGATTGCCGCGAGACTATCGCTGGTACACTGTCCGTTTTGCAGTTACGCAGAGATTGATGACATTTATTTGCCATCCGAGAGGGCGAGAATGCGAGTTCGGATTTCTGGTGTTCTTCACCTACTGTTTCTCTTCCTTTGCTTCATTTGCGTTGTTCTCATCCTTCCTCTGGCTGTGCTCTGCTTCGGGGCCGTGTTGGCATTTACCTCCTGGGGACGGGTCTGTATGCGGATATCGACAGAGTGGAAGCACGCCATGGGGAGACACACTCGTCGCCGACGCGGTCTCCAGTTCGCCTGTCAGAACCCTAAATGTGGCCGAGTGTCCTGCCTCTCGTGTAGCAAGGTCTGGACGGATATCCACGTCTGCAACGAGTCGTCTCTGGTTGCGCTACGAACGCAGGTCGAGCAGGCCATGAGCATGGCCATCAAGCGGGTTTGCCCTCGTTGCAACACGTCATTTGTCAAGAACGCAGGCTGCAACAAGCTCACATGTCCCTGCGGCTACAAGATGTGCTACGTATGCCGTGCCGATCTCACCGAGGAAGGGTACCGACACTTTTGCGACCACTTCCGACCCGACGGCGACCCGCGGCCATGTCTGGAGTGCGACCGATGCAATCTGTGGGAGTCAGAGAACGTTGACCAGGTGCTGCAGGAGGCCCGCGAAGAGGCAGAACGAAAGTGGAAAGACACAGAGAAGAGAGACCTCTCGGCGCCGGAAAAGGCGTTTCTGGAGACGGGCATAGCAGCACGGCTGAGCAGCATGGGGAGTATTGAGCAAATCGTGTCGGCAGGGCAATTACCCTCGCTCGGAGAGTTTTTGGATGTTGTGGTTGAGACGCTTTTTGTGTGAGCGAGATGAGACATGGAACCAGCCAGTCAGTCATTGTTACTTTTTGGCGTCTTATCGGCGTTACTACACCTCTCTTGAGCGTGCCAAAATTTTTGGAGAGGGGAGCTTTCTTGATGTTCTCTTCCGATACCCATACCCGCTACATTACTATTCAAAGGTTGCTTCTGCGACGAACGGGTGTTTTAAAAAGCTTACGAAGACGGAGCGTTACGATTAAAGATATTGCTTCTTGCAGCGTCCTACATAAGCCAGGCGTCTGTGTAAAGGAGGATGAGATATCACTGTTCTCTGACGCTTTTCTTCGCTCGTCTTCTTTTTTCTTTTTCTTTGAAAGAGCATATTCATATGGATACCCGGTATTCATCACAAACACTTTTCTGGAAATACTTTCTACACCTCTTTTTCAGCTTGCCAGATTGAAAGAGCAAAAATTCCGCTTACTTCTTATTGCCCTGACTTGGGGGATATATCGCTTCTTACTATTATTTTCCTTTTATTACACGACTTTTCCTTTTCCTTTTTTTTCCTTTTTTTTTTTTCTTTTTCTCTTAATATTTTTTTTATCACTTTCTTTTCTTTTCTTGTCAGACAGCTGGATTGTTTTCATTTGAATGCATGGATATACATGTTCCTTGTAAGGGACTGAGCGCTTTTTGTTACTGAATCATTGACGTTATAATGGAAGGATGGATGATGGCTTGATTAATGAACGAATGAATGGAATGGATAGATTGTTTTTTCTTGGTTTGTTTTTCAACGTGTTTAAAGAGTGAAACGTTTTGAAATTTTTCTTTTTTCAAACTCGCGGCATTACATAAATATCGTATCTTACATATCCCATGATGATTTTTTTTTTCCCCTGACAAGCAACAACGACAAGGACAACAACATCTAGCCAGGCCATTATGCCAATTCAGCAGCCGCTCCCGCAATACACACCTTGCCAGTCTCCTTGACCTTGCACTGGAACACTATCTTCTTGCCCTCCCTCCACATCTCCGTTACGATTGTCTGTCCGGGAATCACCGGCCCCGCAAATCTCACCTTGACATTGCGGAACGCTCCAAAGCGATCATAGACAGCCTTGCCAGCCACGCCAAACGTGCACAGGCCGTGCAAGATGGGCGCCTTGAAGCCACCCATCTTGGCAAACCCAGGGTCGATATGCAGCGGGTTGTAGTCTCCGCTGAGGCGGTAAACAGCAGCCTGATCCTCGCCCGTCGGCGACTCGACAACCTCGTCGGGAGCCCTCTTGGGAGGCTCATTCGCAGCAGTCGCCGCGCCGCGATCCTTGCCCTTCTTCTGGCCGTCAAAGCCGCCCGCGCCGCGGAGGAAGACGGTCATTTCGTTGTAGAAGACGTCCTCGCCCGTCTCGGCGTTGACGGTGGTGATGCCGGTCTTGACGATGGAGGCGCTGCCCTTGTCGACCACCTCGAGGAGCTTGCCGCGCGAGAGGAGGCGGCCGGAGGTGGGCAGCGGGAACTTGCGGATCTCGAGGTACTGCTCGCCGTGGAGCAGCATCATGGGCGAGAAGTTGGGCACGATGGCGTCGTAGTCAAAGGGCATCTCGGCGCTGAAGGGCGGGATGACGCCAAAGGTGGGGAGGACTTGGAAGTCTTCTGCGCCCTCACTATTTTTTTGGAAGAAGAAAAAGAAACAATTGTTAGTAAAGAGGTACTCCATGTCGGCGCGTATATAGGGGGATAGGTGAATAGATGTTTTTTTGGGGTATGTGAACGTTGTGTGTATGTAGTTTTCACGTCAGATAGCGAGGCATGTATACAAGGTGGCTTACAAGACATATTTCAGCTCCTTTCGCTTGGCACCGACACCAAGGTTATACAGAATAACATCACGGTCTGTAAAGCTGTACTCGGTAGGGCTGCCCTCCTTTCCAAGAGCCTCAGCGATGGCAGTCAGATGTTCATTGCTGGCGGCTGGTTTCTCTTCGCGCTGGGAAGCAGAAAAATCACAAATTAGCACGGTTCTCTTGCGTGAATCATGAAAATTTCATTCTTTCATTCTGTGTGTGTTTTTTTTTGTTCTCTTGGTAACATTTCTTCTTCATCTCTAGTGGCTATCCAATATGTACAAGTAGTTTTGGTAGATGATGGTAGTAGTTTGTGGTGGTGATACAGATCTGCTTCCATATCCTGAAGAGGTGGCAGATGGAGGAAACAGGAATTAAAAGGAAATGAAGAAAAATCTTGGAAAAAAATTTCGTACGTATCATGTTCTCATACCTTGTTCTCCATGTTGGCCATAATCTTCTCCAGGCCGTCCTGAGCCTTCTCAGGGTGGTCTGCGCGGCCATCATCAAAGTTGATAATCTTCTCCCAGTGCTTAACAACCTCCTCAGGAACCAGGGGAACGTTCACGGGGAAGCCGTGGCCACCGCTTCGCTGCCATCGGGTCTTGCCGACCCAACCGCTGCCGACCTCGTACAGGCCACCAGTGGGGTTAGGGCACTTGTCGCTGCTGAGGGCGAGGACAAGAGGAGCAATGTAGTCGGGCTTGAAGGCGTCAACCATCTCCTTGGGCATGATGGTGGCGGTCATGGCAGTACCGGCGTTGGGAGCAATGGTGTTGACGTAGATGCCGTACTTGAAGCCCTCAAGAGCAAGGGCACGAGAGAAGCCGAGAATACCGCATTTCTGTGATTCAAAACGTGTTAGCCAAACAGAATACTTTTCAAACATGTCATGTGGCGGGATCATCTTACAGCAGCGGCGTAGTTGGCCTGGCCAAAGTTGCCGTAGATACCAGAGGTGGAAGTGGTGTTGATGACACGGCCATACTTCTGCTTGAGGAAGTAGGGCCAGGCAGCCTTGGTAACCTTGTATGTACCGCGCAGGTGCACGTTCATGACTGGGTTCCACAGGTTGTCGTCCATGTTGGTGAAGGCCTTGTCACGGAGGATGCCAGCGTTGTTGACAACGATATCAACACGGCCAAAGGCGTCAATGGCGGCCTTGACGACGGCATCGCCGTCCTCAGCAGAAGCCTTGACACCGACAGCCTTGCCGCCGAGCTTCTTAATCTCCTCAACGACGGTATCGGGGTTGACGAGGTCGTTGACGACAATGGAGGCGCCGTGCTTGGCAAAGGCCAGAGCATAGGCACGGCCAATGCCGGCACCGGCACCGGTGATGAGGGCAACGCGGCCGGTGAAATCGAGCTTCTCGCCCTTGTCGCTGGGGCCCATCTTCATAGACTCCTCCAGGAGGCCCATGAAGTCGTTGGGGCCAGAGGGGTACTGAGGGTTGGAGAAGTCAATGACCTTGTTCCACTGCTTCAGGATGGCGCCGGGAGTGTAAGAGTCGTCGGCCTTGAGCAGGAGGCCGCTGGATCGCTCCCATCGCAGCTTGGCGACGTGGCCAGCACCGGCCTCGAAGATGCTGCCGTTCTCGGTGTTGTTGGAGTGCACCAGAACAGCAACGAGCGGCACAATCCACTCGGGGCGAAGAGCCTTGAGGACATCGGGGGGCATGACGGTCTCGGTCATTCGGCTCGCGGCTATTTTGTCGCTTCAAGTCAGTCTACTGCTTCTTTTTCTTCTTCTTCTTCTTCTTGCTTCTGCCAGTAATGCGTAGCTAGCTTATACATACCAATGGGGGCAATGACGTTGGACAGGATGTTGTACTTGGCGCCCTCCTTGGCCAGAGTCTCGGTGAAGCCAACCATGGCCAGCTTGGCGGCAGAGTAGTTGGTTTGGCCAAAGCTGCCAAACAGACCGGCGGCTGAGGCGGTGTTGATGACTCGGCCATACTTTTGCTTGCGGAAGTGAGGCCAGGCGGCGCGAGTGCACTTGTAGGCGCCGGTGACGTGCACCTTCATGATCAGGTCCCAGTCCTCGTCCTTGAGGTTCTTGAAGGCAATGTCGCGCAGGATACCGGCATTGTTGATGAGGATGTCGATGCGGCCAAAGTTCTGGATGGCGGTCTCGATGATGCGCTCGCCGTTCTCGACGCTGTCGTAGTTGGCAACGGCCTTGCCGCCGGCCTGCTTGATCTCGTTGACGACGACATCAGCGGCCTAAAGGAGGCTTCTTGTTAGCAAAAGCAAAGCGATTGTGGTTGCACGGCCACTGGATGGTAGCACTGGAGATGGAGCCGTTTCTTATTTTCACCGACCTTTGTAGAGTTTCCCTCGCCCTTGAAAGAGCCGCCCAGGTCGTTGACGACAACGCTGGCTCCTCGCGAGCCGAAGAAGGTGGCATAGGCCTTGCCCAGACCACCGCCAGCTCCGGTGATGACCACCACCTGGCCGTCGTATCTCAGCTGCTCAGACATGATGCTGTGAAATTCGTCTCGAAGCGACGCTGATGCAAAGAAGAAGAGACAAGGTATAATATGCTGTAAAGGACCTGGGGATGAAACAGCAAAGAGGATGGGATGGGGGGGTATCTAGAGGAGAGCGCGAGTAGGAGAAGATGGGAGGAGGAAATGGAAGAGGAGAAGAAGAAGGAAAGCGATGTGATGTCAAGCTCGGCACGGTTTGTCTTTTAAATCCAGACACGCAAGAGGCGGACGGACCGGGTCAACAGCACCGCAGCGCAAAAGGTGTGTCGATGCCTCGGCTGAGCTGCGGGAGCGGGTACCGTGGAACTTGGAGCACCGCGATTTTGTACCGAGACCGAGGGGGATTTCCGGGGGGAGCGCTAGGCTGGATGCGGGCCTGGGGGGGAGAGGATGGAGAGGATGGAGGCGTGTTCACATGCTTTTTGGGCGTTGAAATCTGGGGTATTGCCATGTATTGAGCTGATGCATGCTTTGTGCGTGGATTGGATGGAGGACGAGTGAGTGCGGATCAGGCCATTCACGTGTCGGTGTCGGTCTGCTCGCAGCCAGTAGATGGATGAGCTGCTCTTCTTTTTGGCTTGTGCCGTAGCAATACCTGCCGCTACCGTTGCTTGCCGACGCCAGTGATGCAATGATCCGTACCTCTCTTGTGTCTGGTTTAGGTAATTATGCTGGCCCTGAGCCTAGCATTCCCCAGTTGCCCTATATTTCATCGCCATCATCACCCAAGCTTCACATGCCCAGGCCATGCCTCTGTCAGCTACTAGTGCTGCTGCAAATTAGTATATATAGTAGCCTACCCTCTCCACAACCTACACGCAAGTGCACGCAAGTGTGTGCACTAGAAGCCAAATGCCTCCATCCATCAATCAATCCGTCGGCTCCGGGGACCGGCAGCCCGCCTTGGCTGCTCCGAAGCGGATATTAGAGCTGCCGCGACGGCGCAGTACCTATTACCCGCTCCTCTCATAGTGGCAGCGGCAGCATGTAGAAACCATCTCCTCTTTTATATAGATGAAATACAACAAAATAAAAATAAAACACACATCATTCAATACTGTACAACTCACACACTTCAAAATAGAAAGCTAGAAGAAAAAAAAATCATGGCCCCTTCCTTCACAGACGACAAATCCCCAATATGCATCCCCTTCATCCTCAACCATCTCAAGCTACACCAACAAGCAGCATCTCACAGCCAGCCGCCGCCGCCGCCCCTCATCATCGGCCTCAACGGCATCCAGGGCGTTGGCAAGTCCACTCTCGTCGTGCCCCTCGCCGAAGCTCTCGAGCGGAAGGGCATCCCCACGCTGGTCTGCAGCATCGACGATTTTTACCTGGCGCACGAGGACCAGGTAGCCCTGGCGCGGGCGAATCCCGATAATGCGCTGTGGCAGGTTCGCGGAGAGCCAGGTATGTACATGTACATGCCACTTACACGCACATCGTCTACCTTAGTACCTTATACATCATGATATATGATATCAATCCACATAACCACTCCCAATCCATTCTATTTGTTATGCTACCTACACAACTCTTGTCTCATAAAATCACATCTCAGGCACCCACGATATCCCTCTCCTGAAATCCGTCTTCTCCTCTCTCCTCCGCCACGAACCAACCTCTCTCCCCCAATACGACAAGGCCCTCTTCTCCGGCCAAGGCGACCGTCTACCGCCCTCATCATGGAAACCCATCAACCAAAGCAACAGCAACGTTCCTCTCCAAGTCATTATCCTCGAAGGTTGGTGCGTCGGTTTCCGCCCCATCTCCCCCTCCGCCATCTCGGCAAAACACGCAGCCCCCAGCAGAACCCTCCGCCAGCACCGTCTCGAGCATCTTCTGGCCATCAACGAGAAGCTCAAGGAGTACGACCAGGTGACCGACATGTTTGGCGCCTTTCTGCACATTGATTCTGAGAACATCGAGTACGTGTACGACTGGCGACAGGAACAGGAGGAGCACCTCCGCCTGGCGAGGGGCGATCCCAACGCCGGCATGACCAAGGAGCAGGTCGTTAAGTTTGTGGACGCTTATTATCCGGCTTATGAACTTTACTCGGAGGGTCTGCGGAATGGTCTTTTGCCTGACAGTCCCGGAGCACAACTGCGGATGATAGTTGGCCGCGATAGAAAGGTGAAGCAGGTTGTTGAGATATAAGCTCTGAAGGATAATAACGACACGATAATGATGGCCATGCGGGAACCTAGGAAGAGTGTAACAGAGGGGAAAAGGATGAAAGAAGTGTTTTTTTTTCTTCCTCTTTTCTACGTAGTGTCCTTCTTTGGAGACCGGTAGAATTTTAGATAACGCAAGATGGAGAAACCTCAACTAGGACATTTCCATTATATCCCACAACAATCTCTACTCCCCCAAGTCGACCGTTTGTTAACTTTCAACGCCTAAGTTTTGCCTCGCTACCATTCCTCCAGGTTCAGAGATATACTCCTTGCCATGGCCAGTGTTTTCCCATTCCATCCGGTCAAGCCTAAACAGAATCATAATAGTAAAAAAGAAAGAAAAAAAAAAGAATTCATTCGAATACGCCAAACTCCTGCTCCAAAATGCCAGTGACAAATAATGCAAGCAAATTAAAAGTAATTCCAATCACAGCCAAAACTCACTTGGCGACCTGCTGGCTGCCCTCCTTAGTGTTAACCACACGCAAGCCATCCTGCTTCATTTTGGATAGCTTCTGGTCGATTGCCTCCGTCTGCAGCCGGACAGCTTCTTCTCGAGAAGCTGCCTCTTGTTCAAACTCCTGTATCATTCGGCGCTTGTTCCGTCTGGCCACCCGCAACTTGTGCATAATCTCGCCGAACCGGTCAGCGAACCAATCCCCAGCTTCTTCCCAGTCATCGGCATTCATGCTTTTGAACATGACGTGCTGGTCCTCCTCAGTCTGGTGTTGGTATTGCTCCAGCTTCGCATTGAGAGTGTCCGCACTGCCGCCTGCACCAACATGCGCCGTTAACTTGGAGGGGTCAAAGTCGAATGCTTCTTTTTGGAGTTCAGCGTAGTTCATGTTGCTTAAAGCCATATCATCATAGTCAAGGCTTTGCCTTCTCCGCTTCCTATCTTTTGGCGCCGACGGCCTAAAAGGTGGCATGGTTGTTGTAAAGGCGTTCTCGAAAGCAGCTCGTTGTGGCGATAAGAGGTGCCTCCTCATTCTCGGAGTTTCGCGTCCATCTTCACGCCCGCCTATGGTAGACGTGCCATCATCTTGGTCTCTATTCTCGTCTTCATCAATGAGCTCTATCCTTCTGCCTCCCATCTCCACCTCTGCTAGCCCCTGGAATCTGGACACAGGGCGGCCACCCTCCTCTCTGTCTCTCAAGTATCGCCCCCTGTTGTCATAGGCAGGAGATGCACTCCTCTTTTGTCTATCGTCATAGTCGATTTGCTTCGCTCTTGGCACATGTCGAAGCCTAACTTCGCGCAACGGCAGATTGGGTTGTTTCTCTGGCGATGACTCTGGTCGAGTGTAGCTTGTTCGATAATTTGGGGCGGGTCTGCTATATCCATTGGCGGCGCCTCTATTAAAACCGTCGTTCATGTAGGAAGGGTTGTGATGCTTGGTGCCCGAGACCGGTACAACCTTCATGCGAAGATCCTCTCCAATCTGAAAGGCGAGACCGCCACTGGAAGGAAATTTCTTGTCAAAATTGTAGCGAGGAGGAGCTCTCACAATGGGAGCAGCAGATGTAGTGGCAGGAACAGCGACAGTGGGCCTCTTTTGGGTTATTGGATCCGGCTCGGCCTCTGATGGCTCGTACAGCGGCGTCGTTAGGCCTGAATTCATAAAGCTGTCGCCCAATTGGGAGCCGGTAAAGATATCGATATGACGGCTGGACGGAGACTGCGAATGAGACTGCTGCACTGATTCGGGCGGCGGCTGGCTAAATCTCCGCTGGTGTACGGCAGGCTGGCGAGCATTTCCATTCGGCACAGGCACTCGAGCGCTGTCTGCCAGCTCTCTTCGCTCTGCGACGGACGTGAGAACCGGAGCAGAGCTCTGATAGCGCCCTGGCTCGCGGCTCTGCTGTGTTGCCGCAGTTGCGGGCACATCGATATTCGCATTGGAGTTGATGTCGTTGTCGGATCTGGGGCGTGCAAACATCTGCAGCCGACTTGATCGCTCCTTCAACGAAGCCGGCATGGCTGCTGCTTTTTTCATTTGTTTAGGCGAGAGCGCCAGCAGCAAAAGTGTGCGGGCGCAGCTTTTCTCGTCGACTCGGTGAAATGGTATAGCTCGATACGTTTAGATTGAGGGTTCGTTTCCCGTAAGAACTGTTGAGGCGAGAAAAGAAACAAATGTGTTGGCGAAAGAAGCGCGATGAAGAAGAATTGAATCGGTGGCCAGCCCGTGTTTGGGAGGGAAGGATCGAGCGGTGACAGCGCCAAATGCAAGCACTAAAAAAGAGTAGGTTGCTAAAACAGAGAGAAGCGATATCCAGGTATGCTCCGATAAGGGAAAACAATGGCATTGGGTGAAGCATTAAATAAAGAAGGGGAGAAGACAAGAGATGATGATTGTGCGGCAGCTCGAATGATGCGCGCAAAGCGACGCCGGTGCTTGATCGATATCCTGCAAGCCCGCTATCGAGACGAGGCTGTACTGCAGCTTGGCGCCCAACAGCAGAGCCCGCGTCCAGCTGTCACAGTCGCCATGCCAGCAAGCTTAGCGCCCGAGTGTTGCGCGCCGGGGCAGCAGGAGAGAAAAACAGGCGCGCTATCAGGTGACGTGTTAATTGGGCCGCGGCAGTACAGTAGTGCAACAGAGACACAGAGATACGTACTGCCGGTACTTGATAGCTTGTAACTGCGCCGTGCCGTCATAGAACGATTAGTTTTGCGCTTGGGATTATGGGGCGGCGCTGGAGCAGCCCAATCCCGCTACTGTTGCTCTATTATACGGTAGTACGTAGTGCTTCTACTTGTAGCTCCGCCAAGAGTGCTTCCGACGACCCGGCGTCGTAAACGCTTCGCATGCTCCATGCAAGTCTTGCAAGGTACATCGTATTGCTGCGTGGTGTGCCGTACAGTAGTACCTCCTACCACGCTCATGCATGTTTTACGTACTGCATCACAATCACAAAAGAACGTCTCCACCCGGATCCGGCACTGGCTGGACATCTTGTCGTTGCTTTCCAGAATCTTGGGTCGTCAGAGGCTCTCGGGACCCGGACCAGCTTGTGATCGCCCCGATTAGTGCCTGTGGGCGGTGACTCGAGGACTAACTCCGGTTGGCTCTAGCAGCAGCGCCTCTCCAACATTGTGTTCCATTCCCTTTTCTACGACCGGAGAATATGGAGCTCTGCCGGCTCAGCTGCGCCGAGCAATCTCGAGATCCCGGTTTTTCAAGGTTTTGCTGCTAGTCGTGCCGTAGGCCATGCTAGCACCGCTGCGCATGCACTCGCCCTTCGAGGCTCCCCTTGTTCGCAGCTCTCTCCACCGGGACGGCTTGGCAGGCGTGGCCTCGTGCGTGCCCTGCCAGATTCTGCCTTGAAGCGTGTGACCATCGGCCCAGCGTCTCTCCAGCCTGTCGACGCACTTCCACCCTCGTCAAGCCTCACGCCTATTCATACAACATGCTACTCTAGCCTTATATCTCCCTATACAAGGCGGCGCCTCCGTGACACGCCAATTGCTGTATTAATTAATCTTTTTCCTCCAGCCCGAGTCCGTTAGGAGTGTGCGCCGTCCTTCACTTACAAGCTTCAAACCGCATCTCTGTTGCTGCTAGGGAATAAAAAAAAACAAAAAAAAAAAACAATGACGTCTTCGACGCCCCAGACGGAGGCTGGGCCGTCGACCTCGTCCAGATCCCCCCCTTCCACAAGGCCACTGAGCACCTCAACAGACTTCATAAATCCTCGCTTGCGTACTGCGCGAACATTGCCCCGTAAGGACCACTTTGCGACTGTACCGGTGACTCCGGGCTGCCAGAAGCAAATACTAACATCCTCCCTCTCTCCATAGCCTGGGTTGTCGCCAACGATGAGCGACGTGGACCGATTACCGAAGAGCAACAGCGATTGCTCAACCCCCCTCAACGCTCTACCGCGCCTCAGCGCAATTCCATCCCCCAGCCACCCCAACGACGAGTCTCGAAGGACGGGTTCGTCTCTTGGGATGACCCTAAGCTGGGACCTCCCCAGAACGAGCGCGGCCGTATACCACACCTGTTCAAGTATGGACGAGCATCGGCACGAGGAAGAAAATGGGATCACCTTCGATCCGCTGAGCCCGTTATAATTTCGTCCCACCCTTCCATGTTCCAACAGCCGTCAGTTTCGTGGGCAGATTTCATACGGTCATCGGCTTGGGGACGCCCTCGGAACGAACAGAGCGAAATCATCGACATTGAGGCTCTCAACCAGCTGCAGCCCAACTTCAACAAGGAGACGGAGTTGCCTTTGCACGCAGCCGATAAGCACGACCGGCGGCGCAAATCTGCCTTTTCTAAGCGTGTATGGGGGCAAATGCTCAACAGTTCCCTCTCTCCCTTGCTCTTCCGATTGGTCGTCATCATCATGTCCACGGTAGCTTTGGCGATTGCTATAAGAATGTTTCAGCAGGAAACCAAGGTCTTTGGCGACGGTTCTGAGCGCACGCAGTCTATTTTCGCAATTGTGGTAGACTGTGTATCTATCCCTTTCAACGGATACATGATATGGGACGAGTATACGGGGAAGCCGCTTGGGTTGCGCTCTGCCACCTCCAAAATGTCTCTCATACTGCTGGACCTGTTTTTCATCATCTTTAAGTCAGCATGCACAGCTCTAGCGTTTGAGCACGTCGTCTACCACCAATTTGGCGACCAGGATATCCTTGGGTTATCTGAGGGTCTTGCATCCGTCATGCTTCTCGGTCTTGTAGCATGGACTGCGAATTTGACCGTCAATATTTTCCGAGTGGTTGAACGGCTTGGGGGCCGCGAGGAGGAAACTAGGTGAGGGTACTAGAGTGCCAGAAGTGCCAGACAACGTACATTCGAACAGAAGCGTCAGCAGCGTACATATTCGTACACCTATTATACATTGGGATTGGTTTGTCTGTTTTTCATGGGTGGGTCTCGTTCTCAGCGTTTTATCATTTTTTTCGGGGGCTGGACTCTGTATGGCGTTACAAAAGCGGTGCAACTAACATGCATATCATTACGAAATGAACGAAGTTTGATGAATAGATGGTTGGGCGCTCTGCTTGTGTATGCCATCAAGCTAATACTTGTACTCTACATGTACATGAGATAAAGGTTACACTATAATGCTTATTTCATCTTGTAATGTTTCTCTTCTCCTAGTCGCGGGTGTAGTGTTGTGGATGTTTTATGTCTAGTAGAGGTCATCATATCGAGTGGATGTGGTTATATCCAATTAACGCTACTACATCTAGGAGATGTCATCATCTCTAGTAGATTCTCTACTTATATCCAGAGTCAGAGTTTGTTATAAACTCTACAAATACCTATGCAGCTTGATAACCATTCTATGCCAACGCCATGTGGTCAACAGCACGGCCGTCACAGACACAGACGCAGCCGCAGGAAATGGACTCATAGCCTCTCCGAGTTATTTGCGTCACAAAAATTTAGTCATCAATGTCTCTTCCCCTTCTTGTGGCTGCATCTCCACCAACGGCTGCTGCGATACCATCGCTGGCCATTGTCCAAGGCAGCAGCAGCAGGCAGCCCCAGCATAGTGAATTAGCAGCAGTGGTGGTCCCTTGCTGAGTGCATTAGTCGCGCCAACAGGCACAAAGGCGGCCCCCAAAAAGGCCAAAAAGGCGGCTGGACAAGGCAGAAACCGGCGCTAAGCCGCTTCCAGCTGGCCCGGAGCCTTGCAACGTGCTCCAGCACAGCAGCCGCAGCAGCTTTGGCGGATGTTGGCTTTGGCTTTGGCTTTACTGCCTGATTGATCCCTCATCATTACGTCTTTGGCCAAGCTCCTCGCAGCCTCCCTGGACTGCCCGTTTCTTCCTCCTTCTTTCTTCCATCTCCGTCTTTGCGGCGAGTCCAGTCGAGGGAGCAGCAAACGCGCCTTTTTCTACTTCCTCGCGTCGAGCTCAGCCGCGCCGTGCTTTGCCCGCTTCGAACCAATACAGCGACCCACTGCCTCGCCGGCTGATGAGGCGTGAGCATCACCGCTGAGTTTCGTCGCCCAAACAGCCTTTCCGAGAACCCGCAGCCCGTCCCCAACGCACCACAGCGCTGCCGTCGACGCAAGGCCTGTTCTCTCCCCATCTCCACCGCCTCGCTCTTTTCGAAATCCCCAGCTGAAGAGGCGGCCCGTCTGCTGCTTGCGTCGCCAACCAGTCCACCCACGCGAGCCGCAGAGCGTCACTCTTCACCCCGCCTTCCGCCTTACGCTTCGCCATGGTGACCAGAATGGGGATGCCTCCGGTGCCCAACCGCGAGGACATCAATGCAACGTGAGTCGAGGCTGATGATCGGGCAATGCAAGCCGCCGGCAAGACATTAACCGCCGCTGTAGATGGAAGTACCTCGAGGATGGCATCACCCGAATCATGACCGATCTCGAGCAGGGCATGGACATGCAAATGTACATGGGAGTGTATACGTACGTGGCCTCGTGAATCTCATTCCTGCTTTTCGCTTTGCATCCTCGCTCGGATTCAGACTCGACTGCTCACACTGCCATAGCGCCGTCCATAACTTCTGCACTTCACAAAAGGCCGTTGGCCTCAGCGGCCCGAGCATGACCACCAGTCATCGTGGAGGTTCGTCAACGTTCCATCTCCCCCGAGCCAAACTCCCGCTAACATACTTGCTTCTTTCTTCCCCGTTGAATAGCACACTTGCTAGGTGAAGATCTCTACAACCATCTAATCCAATATCTCCAGAAACACTTGGCGGCCCTCGTTCAGTCGTCCAAGTCGCATACAGACGAAGCCCTATTGGCCTACTACATACGGGAGTGGAACCGATACACCGTCGCTGCGAAATACATTCACCACCTGTTCCAGTATCTTAATAGGCACTGGGTCAAACGGGAAATTGACGAAGGCAAGAAGAACATATACGATGTGTACACCCTGCATCTTGTTCAATGGCGAAAGGTGCTGTTTGAGCAGGTATCCGAGAAAGTCATGGACGCCGTTCTCAAATTGGTGGAGAAGCAGAGGAGTGGTGAGACTATTGAATACGGCCAGATCAAACAGGTCGTCGATTCGTTTGTCTCTCTCGGACTGGACGAGGCCGATCCATCCAAGTCGACTCTCGACGTCTACCGCTTCCATTTCGAACGCCCTTTTTTGGCTGCGACCAAGGAGTTCTACCAAGCCGAGTCCAAGCAGTTTGTGGCTGAGAACAGCGTCGTCGAGTATATGAAGAAGGCGGAGATGCGATTAGCTGAAGAAGAGGAGCGTGTCAATATGTACTTGCACGGGGACATTGCCATCCCGTTGAAAAAGTGCTGCAATCAAGCTCTCATCGCCGATCATTCGGCACTGCTTAGGGAAGAGTTCCAGGTGCTTCTGGATAACGACCGGGAAGAAGACATGGCGAGAATGTATAGTTTACTATCTCGCATTCCTGATGGGTTAGATCCACTGCGCACCAGATTCGAGACTCATGTGCGAAAGGCAGGCTTGGCCGCGGTTCAAAAGGTTCAGTCGTCTGAAGGGGACAAGTTAGAACCCAAAGTCTATGTCGATGCCCTGCTTGAGATTCACACTCAGTATCAGGGCTTAGTCAAGCGAGCCTTCAACGATGAACCCGAGTTCACGCGGTCTCTAGATAATGCCTGCCGCGAATTCGTCAACCGAAACGAGGTGTGCAAGTCTGGCTCTAATAAGTCTCCCGAGCTGTTGGCCAAGTACACAGATGTTCTCTTACGAAAGAGCACCACAAGCATTGAAGAGGCGGATCTGGAGCGGACGCTGTCTCAGATTATGACCGTCTTCAAGTACATTGAGGACAAGGATGTTTTCCAAAAGTTCTATTCCCGTATGCTGGCCAGGAGACTGGTACACAGTAACTCTTCGTCCGATGATGCCGAGACAAGCATGATTTCCAAGCTAAAAGAAGCTTGTGGATTTGAATACACTAACAAGCTTCAGCGTATGTTCCAAGACATGCAAATTTCAAAGGATCTAAACAAGGAATTCAGAGATCATCTAGAGAGCGTCGGCAACGCAAAGGCTGTAGACTCAACCTTCTCCATTTTGGGAACTGGTTTCTGGCCGTTGACGCCGCCGAGCACTCACTTTGACCCGCCTCCGGAGATTGCTGCAGAAATTGAGCGATTCGTTCGCTTTTACAAGCACAAGCATGACGGCCGCAAGCTTACCTGGCTGTGGCATCTTTGCAAGGGTGAGATCAAGGCCGGTTACTGTAAGAACAGCAAGACGCCCTACACTTTCCAGGTCTCAATCTATCAAATGTCTATCCTCCTCTTGTTTAACGAGAACGATACATATTCATACGACGACATTTCTAGCGCTACCCAGCTGAGCTCAGAGGTGCTCGATCAGGCACTAGCTGTTATTCTCAAGGCCAAGGTGCTGCTGATGGACGGCGGCGATAAGCCTGGGCCTGGCAAGACATTCCGTCTCAACTATGATTTCAAGAGCAAAAAGATAAGAGTAAATCTTAACCTTGGCGGTGTCAAGGAGGCGAAGCAGGAAGAGGTCGAGACAAACAAGACTATCGAAGAGGACCGCAAATTAGTCTTGCAGGTAAGCTAGCTTATCCCCCTCCCCCCTAACCTCATACTTGTTTGTCCCCTCCATGATGAAATGCCAAATGCTAATCTATGTTCAATAGTCCGCGATTGTCCGTATCATGAAGGCTCGAAAGAAGATGAAGCACACGCAACTAGTGAGCGAGACCATCAACCAGATCCGTTCTCGCTTCGTCCCCAAGGTTGGTGATATTAAGAAGTGTATAGAAATACTCCTGGACAAGGAGTATCTGGAGCGTCTGGACGATGATGAATTGGGCTACTTAGCATAAAATTATTCGTTTTTTATTACCTCCGGTAGAAAACTTTTACGGAGATTTTGTTAACAGGCATCATTTGCTTTATATCTTCTCTTTTTTTTTTTGCCACCCCCTTCGATATAGGCATGTTTAATCGCCGAAGAAAAAAAGGAAACAAATTTACACCCTTCTTTGCACGCCCAAAACGGTTATTATATCATCCGTAGATCCTTTCATATTGTTCTTGGGATTGGAACTAGCAAGAGTGGTACTGAGGCATGGGCCGTCTTCTATTTTTCTTTCCATGTCTGCGTTTCTCTCTCTTTACTTGCACGCTTCTTCTATTTCTTCATAGTGGTGATCATGGTGGTGATGCGCCTACAGTAGCTTAATAGAGAATATATGACCTTGGATTCTTGATGTGCCTCCGCTGATCGCATTGATAGTATCTGAAAAAAAAAAAAAAAAAAAAAAAAAAAAAAAAAAAAAAACTATGTGTCTTGTATAGTAGATGCATCTTAGATAGTAAATGCATTTTTAACAGTAAATAGGCTTTGTTTGGTATAGGAATTTGATATATTGTATTCTTCTCGTCGATGAGGTACTTTTCGTTTCCAAATCCAATGTAGCAGCCCAAGCCCATCAATGCCATTTCTCATTCATCATGTCCTGTTATTTCCCTAGCTCTTTCTTTCTTTCTTTCTTCTTTCTGTTTCTGGTCCAATGTCCCTCGTCATCCGTTTCGTATATCAAATACACTGTCTATCTAAATATATATATATATCCAAATCATGCTTCCTTTTGCTCTCTTATAAAAACACACAAGCAATAAAACAAACGCAACAAAACAAAACAAACAGCCTCCCTCTTTAATGCACATCACTGTTTAGTCTCTAAGCTTCGCCCCACCATTGCCAACCACTGACTCCTCGTGAAAGCCATCGTCAAACTCCCTAGGGTATTGTGTCAAAGGGGCCGACACATCAGCGCCTGAGGAACCCGTGCCAGGTCGGTCGCTGTCTGCGGCGGAGAGGATGCTCTCGCTAAAGCTCCCCTGCGTCATCGGCCTGTAGGCCTCCGTTGAATTGCCTCGTGAAGAGCCAATCATGTTGACAAACTGATAGTCTTTTTCGATGGGGCTCGTGGGCATCGAGGCCGTTTGATCAGCAGTCTTCTTTTTACCCCAGCTTGCACCCCATCCGCCATTTTTGCGCTTCTCGCCAGCCCACGAGGTCCAGCTTGCCATGTAAGCGCTGGCTCTGCTGCTCACAGTCGGTGTTTCTGGCGCCTTGGTGGCATCTGTGTTGCCGTTGCCGTTGCCGTTGCCGTTGCCGTTGCCGTTGCCGTTGCCATTACCATTGCTGTTTCCGTTGCTGTTAGCTGCATTGGCTTTGGCAGCTTCTTCTGCGCGACGGCGCTGTGCCTCCCGCATCTGCTCCATGTCGTTATACAGCCTGTTTAGCATTGTTGACGCCTTCTCCCGACCAGCAGCAAAGTTTCGTCCCAGAATATCACGACCTTGGGCGAGGCGTTCATCTATATGAAGCTCTTTCACTTGCTCCGCTATACGCCTTTGAACATCTTCGATGGTAAGGCCACCGGCACAGGGGTGCCTCGGCTCAGAAACAGAAAAAAGATTTGTATCAGTATGAGCGTCCCACATGCGATAGTTCTCCGTGCGTGACCACGCCTCCACCCAATCAAGGCCAAAGTCGACGGCGGGGTCACTTTCTGCTGTGTTGCGAAGGGCCGCAGCATTGGAAATGAGATAATTGTGGAACTTGACTGAGGATATAAGACCAATGATGTAGGCTTCAAACTGGGCCCGAATGTATTCTTCGCTTCCCGCATATTGCATCGTCTTTGGGGTGCTAGGGTTGGACTCGTCCCAAGTGTCATTAACTGCGAGGGTTAAATTGTCGATCCACCTTCTGTCTGCTGCAGTTAATGACAGTGCCGTTCTCAAAGAAGGCGACGTAATATTAATCGTGTTGTCATCGAGGTTAATGATGATATCGCTATAGCGGTCTTTTTGTTGGAGAAGAAGTGAATTGGTGCTACCAACAAGGTATGATTTGGTGCCGACGTCGGCCAGTAGATCAAGCTGCTGCAATGGGGTATATGGGCCAAACATGCTTCCCTAAGTTCAATTATACGTAAGAACAGGACACTCTTAGGAGCGAGGAATGAGCGGTAGTGCATACTTTACCAAATATCTGCAATGGCAGTCCCATAAAAGTTAGGAGTGAATTGCGATTACTACTTTGTAGACTTGTCGGTTGTGCGAGCTTCTTTTCGTGGTTGTTTAATTCAGGATCCGCACAATCTTGAAGGTTTCGAATGAGTCCGGGTATCAATGAAATAAGAGAAAATTGGACCATGCATAACCGATCACATCGCGATCCGAAGAAAAGCATCTACGCCGGTTGTTAGCATGTCCGTTCCCCCCGCAAAAGACAACCATCCGCAAATAGCTTATATGAATGTGAAAACTACTGACTTTGGGCTGAAGAAGACAGCATTTGAGCAACACCAATGCTTGCGATTTGAACTCGTGGATAAGCTCGCGCAGACTCATACCCAGGTACTGGTCACGCTGAGCCTCCTCTTGCAAGATACCCCGGGATTTTTCATCCGCGAGGCTTTCCTGGAACCTGTGCAAAATTTCGACATCTGTAAACTCTCGCTGCGCAAACCATGCCTGCGTGACTACGCTCAGGCGCTGTCTCAGCATGCCAAAGAACTGGGGACTGTCGGCGATGACGACAACCGCCTTCTGGACGGTTGAACGAGTTACATCGGCAGGCCGGTTTATAAGTTGCGAGGAATCGAGTTGGCGAGTGCATGATATACCGAAAAGAGATGTCGCCGGCTCATCGTCCGTCTCGGGTCGTAGTAACGTAAAGTAGGAGAAGTCTTCTTCCGAGCTATGAATAGTAGTCAGCGCGCCGTCCTAGTATTCGCAGTGCAACGAAGAGGAAAGATGATGGCATACGCATGCGCTCCGTCACTCAGCGCCATGAACGGCAGCAGAGTCCAACCATACTTGACAGCCGGATCAACGCCTTCTTCGACTCCAAACCAGCTCTCAACCTCAGGGCCCCGCGCATGATGGAAGCCAACGACAGTGACCAACGGTGTAAAGCTGGTCAGGAAGGGTGTAGTGGGTATCGTAGGGGTAATTGGCGACAAGACAGTCTTGAATTCGACCCCATTGGGCGGGACCTTGATTCTGTCAGTGCTCATGATGCCGTCTGGTATCGCTGATGCGCGCGATGCAAGCCCAGCCGAGAACAATATCCTGCAGCTCAGCGCCGCTATGGAGATGCCATGCGCTCGCTTCCAGCAAGCTCAGTTACCGGCACGGCCTCGAACCTTTCGAATTCGGGGAATTCGGCCGTATCGCAGTCGTCACTGGGAGTGGCTCGATGGAGGAGCGGTGGCAGCAGCAAAGACTAGGTATTTGGCACAGCAAGTCGGTGTGGCGAAAAGGCGGGATATGAGATTGACACAGGCCTGGAGTTGTAAGCCGCTCGCAACTTCAGACTCAGTTCAGTTCGGCCGTCGCTCTGTCACGATGATGGAAACCTGGTGCAAAGGACAGGATCGGTTCGCCTTCGGACGCAGAGCCAAGGGGGGGCAGAACGGTCGCGCGCGTCTGTCTTCCTGCAAGGTGAATTGGCAGTGGCGGGGGATCCCTGAAGGTTTCGGAGCCAGACAAGGGTATGGAGAATATTTCTAGACTGATGGTGAAACCAATTCAGTTCAACCTATTTTGTAGGATGGATGAGGCACGAGTCCTTAAAAAGAGGCTTTTATTACGAGAGGAACTGGCGAGACAATGTGAATGTTGACTGGCAGTATAAATGCAGCTCTGGTGATGCTGAGACCGCCTCTACCCAGCCAGTCGGTCTGGTTGGGGCTGCAGCTGGTGAGATTGAAGCGCTGACTGTACAGGCACAAGACCCGCCATACAGAGTACAGAGCAGAGACGATCTGCTGTAGCTTCTGCGCTTGTACTATGACTCGAAGTGGCCCACTGAAGAGGTCGAACAACCGAGGCGGCGCCAACTTAATAATTGCTGGGAAAGTTTGTTGGTGTGCAGTGCGCGGAGTAAGGAGAGCAGAAAGATTAATGCTGGAAAACGATTGAATCGTGATGCATGATTAATGCTATTTGGACTTTTTCTGTCTGAAGCAAAACTGGGAAGATGTTGCCTTCACTGCGGCTTTGAAGGACAGCGTCACGTGCAGAAGTGCCTGAGGCAGAGCAGATGGAAAGACTACAGCGCAGCGATATACTTACTACTACCTACTAGGTAGATTCTACGGTATGAGTATGGAGTGACAGCCGATAACTTACAGATCAATCCTCCACATAAACACTGAATGGTGTTGATGGTGATGGTCTTGTGAGCACCACCAGGCCTGTGCATCGCAGCGGTTGAAACATGCTCTCAGCACGGCACCCACCATCACCGATCCATCTCCGAACCCCATGAGCAGAAACAGCCAAAGACTGGATGTGGATGCAGAGCCAGAGTCAAAACAAGAGTAGAGCAAGAAAGAAAAAGCCCTTCCAACTGCAGGTCGACAGGATTCCACGTCAACAACCCTCGCTTCTCATTCCCAAAGTTTTCTTCTTTTCCTCTTCCTCATGCACCGATCTCTCTTGGCTGCAGGCTGTGCAGGGATGGGCAGCGAATAGCGAGCTTAGATGCTAGTCTGCCAGCGTGTCTTGCATTGCATTAAGAAGACCATCAGCTTTCTCTGACACCACTGCCGAGGAGATATTTTACTTCTTTACCGTTCTTTTCCTTTCCTTTCCTCTGACGGCATCGACATGCCCGTGTGATGATGGAGTGGGACGCGGGCATCGTGATAGAGACCCCGCCACCGTAGTACCAAGGTCTTTGAGGAATCACATCTACAGAGCACACGAGATGATATATCTCCGCTAACCTACCTTGTGCATCACACTACATGTAGCAGTCGTCAGTCCATCAGTCCCGACATCGCGGATACCCATGAACCTCTAGAGGCGGTAGCTTGTGAGCCACCGTGCTAAACATATAGGCATCTCTCTATCTGAACCAGTTTGAATAAACTACCCGGCACAAAGAGAAAACGGTATGGTTCGACCCATCGTCGAAAGGTGACGTGACACACCCCTTGTTGCCTGTAACCTATCTATGTAACATGTGTGTGCATTTGCCCTCCAAGACAATGATGTAACCAGGTGCGTAGCGGTCCAATCCCTCTGAAACAAAGAGGCAAGCTACGAACTTGTAGTGATTTAGCGTGCAACGTGCACGAAAACAGCCGTCTTATTTATATGGACGTCTCATCTCATACAAAGCACAGATACGGGTGTACTCTCCCGTCCCGGTTTACTACTCGGGAGGGTGCAGTT